TGGAGCACCTTTCAACACAATCCCTAGATATTCAAAAGACAAGTACTGACCAAATGACACTTGCTTGCATTGATAGACATCTTTAAATAGAGCAGCTACACCTCCACCTCTCCTAACAGTCCCGCAAACACTCATGAAAGTAAAGTTAGGAGGGGCTGTTTCATTGAGGACCGTTGCACTGCAGCTGTCTTCTAGCCAGGTTTCGTTTAGAAACATAAAATCCAGGTTGTTTGTGGTTATTAAGTCATTGATTAGAAATTATTTATTTTTTAGTGAGCAAATGTTTAAAAACGCTAACTTGATGGCACTGCATTTTGTCTCAACAGCAATATTAGTTTGATGCATAACAGGCCGCAGATTAGATGAGTCAGCAATACGGCTTGAGAAGGCCTTAAGACTTTCTATCACGTGATAAAACAGAAATAGAGAAAACTACAGGCACACCGGGTTCCTGCTGGTTCTGTAAACATTTGTGAATGTTGCTGCTATTATAGCGGGGACCCGACACATATCACTGAGAGCTGTTATCAGTTGTTTTTGGTTCACCTACAGCAGATGGAGGGTTTGGGCCCTGGCGTTGTGGCAGCGGCCGGAGAGCTCTCACAGGAGGAGGAAGACGAGCTGGGCCCACAGGCTTTGGTGGTTGGGGGGCCCGCCATTTTTTAGTTGATATCTGGGGGTTTGCAGCGAAAGAGTGGGAGAGTTTGGACCCAGCATAAACCAGTTCCTCCATTTTCTGTGAGAAGCTTAGAAGTGGAGATGCTGGAGAGAGAGATAATGTGTCTGGTGAGCGAGGCTGTGGCTCTGGTGTTTCCAGTGGCTGAAATATGTTGTCCTGGCTTCCCTGGCTGTTTTCCAGAAAGTTGTCCTTGGGTGCTGAGTCTTGGAGCTGTTCTGATACGTCACAGTCTCTCTGTGATGAGCTCTGTGGGCAGGGCTCAGCTGGGATGTTGTCCATGAGCAGTGCTTGTTGCGTGGTGTTATCAGTGTCCTTGTGGGATGTGTCAACCACATGATGACTCGGAAGCTGATATGAAGTCCTGTCATCACTCTGTCCAGGTGTGTGTGTGCCATTCAGGTTGAGTAGTTTGGCACACACTACTGAAGGATGACGGAGGGAGAAGTAGATGTTGTCCTTTAGCACTCTTGCACCAAGTTTGTTTGGGTGGAGGCCATCCAGTTTAAACAGTTGTCTATGGCCCCAGAAAAGATTGAAGTTGTCGATGAAATTGACTCCTTTTAAGCTGCAGATTCTTTGTAGCCATGTGTTCAGCCCAAGCAAACGTGAAAACATATTAGTTCCCCTTGCTGGGAGTGGTCCACTGATGAACGACTGAACTTTAAGTCTTCTAAGTGTTTCAAATAGTTCACTGAAGTCCTTCTTAAGGAGTTCCGACTGTTCTTTCTGAATATCATTCTTCCCCACATGGATGATGATTCGATTTGCAGTCTTGTGTTTCATCAGAATTTTCCAAAGTTCCTTGTTTACATCAGAAACTGTTGCTTGAGGAAAGCAGCATATTGTTGAATTTCTGCTACTGATGTTTCTGATAATGGAATCGCCCACTATCAGTGTCCTGGGCTCGGCTGTGCTCTGAGCTGAAAGCCGCTGTCTGCTCGACCTTGAGTGCCTGTTAGTAGCAATGTTAGCTGCTGGCTGATCCAATCCATGTTTAATCACATTTGGGGATTCCTCACCCACATTCATTAATGCTTCAAATCTGTTCTCAAGATGTATAGGGGGTGGTAGAATACCAGTATTCACAAGTCTTGTCATAGCCGAATCTGTAGTAGAGGATGCTACGGCAACAATACGAGAAACTTGTGACAATCTGATGTCTCTACTGCCTTTGGGTCTCGCTCCCTGTTTGTGCCATCGATTAGTGTGACAGTCAGTTTCGGCTTGTTCCTCTACACTTGGCATAAACTGTTGCGATTCACTAGATCCACGGGACTTACCGGCTGTATGCTGAGGGGGTTCGTGACGACGGTCTGCTGAGTGTTCTGCCTGTATTAGAAGTCCAGCAAGTAACTTTGTTTCAAGAACCGCAATCCTTTGTAGAAGTTTGCAGCAGTTCATGCAGCAAGTAGATTCAACAGGAGGCATTTTCTTTCTCTTCTGTTTGAATGTGGGCAGCTGCGCTTTCCCTTCTCCGGAATGTAAGCTGCTGGCAGTGGGAGGCAAAGTCTTATTTTTCGTGGTATTATTCCAGTCCCAACGAGTTTTTAGTTTTAGTGTTTGTGCCCAAAATGTGTTGTTTGAGCACTGTGCTGATCTGCTGAAGTAAAAATCTTAGAAAAATCCGAGAAAAGTACAGAAATAGGGAGCAAAGCGCAGAGCAGTAAGCAAGAATGTCCGAACGGTAGCGAAGCCGGAAGCAGCACCAGGGTTATGCAACGACATATTATTTACTGTAGGTTTTTATAGTGACAGAACTAATGAACTGATTTAGTCTTATTTAGTCCTAAAACTGACTCATCCTCATTTTAGATGCCTTCTGAGTTTGAGTGGACATGATTTTGAGGTATATTTTTGATTGAGTTGATGGACCTTACCCTCACATCTCCAGTGTAAAGATGTGGCATCGTGAATTCTGTGGTTTGGTCTGAAGGGAGCATCATTTCAGCTGGCTGTCCAATAGAGGCCTGAAAAGAAAATCAGAAAAATACTTAGTTTCATCAAGTTGTAAAACTTGAGCAAACCAAAGTCACTGTTACAAGGTCACATGATAGAGATCATGAGAAAATCCATGAGAGTGTCTTAACTAGATACTACTGCCTTTGACAATAAAGCTGTGCCTGTAATGATTTACTGCCGCACCATATTGAAGTTTTAAAGCACTTTTTTTTTTTCTAAGCGCAATCAGAAAATTCAAGGTTCCCACACATCCCTTTTGTGAGTTGGCTTTAAATGCAGGGATTTTCTCCTCCTCTCATTCCCACGGACATGAAAGCAAAGAGGAGAGGTCACACACTGGTCACGGTCACTAAAAACACTACAAATGTACTGCACTTTCATGAAATGAACTAATATTTTCTAACTAGAACTAATTAGACCAAAAGCAATTTGAAATATTGCATTATTCCAGCTCTTTATTTGATGCTGAAAATATTGTAAAAGGATGAGTTAGAACAGTTGAAGAAATCATATTCATCAAGATTGTTTCAAAGCTTGATATTTGTTTGTTTATTAAGGAGATGCCTGCACTGAAACTGAATAGCTGTCTTTTATTATGACAACTATAATTCATGTAAAAGTTATATATCATCTAATATTGCCATTTCAAGCATTGCCATGCAATGTGACAAAACATTTAATTAAAAAAAACGCAATTTAAAAAATTAAAAGTCTTGTATAATTATTGTTTATGAAGTTCTTATGGTCTCATATTATTAATATAAAGACTACAAGAAATAGTTGAACTTTAAAAAAAAAAAGCCATTCACACCTCAGGAATAGAAATGTAAGCAGTTATGGAAGTTCTATGTATTTTATATGTAGCAATCACTATCAATGAACACACTCCTGTAGGTGAGAGGTGACTGCTAAATTTGCCAACTCAACATGAACAAAAATTACTCTCTGCACCTTTAAAAAAGATATACATCATCTTCCTTTGCAAATATTTAAGTAGTAAAAGTTTCACATTTTAATGCTGTGTGAAAAACAACTACTGAAATCTGCTTATCATGAACTAAAGTTAAAACGCACTCCAGCTCAGTAAACAGGAAACCACTGACTCTTGGTAAACACAAACAAACTATTAGAGCGACAGACCCTCAACGCTGTGCTCCGCGCCACACTGAGCTGCTGTAGCTCCTGGATGGGCTGCAGCAGCTCTTGAGCCCGATGGAAAGCTGTGAGAGTTTGCTCTGCCCCAGCAGGAAGCCCTAGGCCTGGCCTGCAGCTCTCAATCTCATCAATGGTCCTTTTCATGGACTGGACATTATCCAGAATGACCTGTTACAGAGGATAGGAGAGAGAGGTACTGTAAATGTTTACAGTACAAACAGAGGATTAGTGAGACATTATGTACAGTACCTGTATGTTCTCGAGATGTTCCTCGGGAAAAATGTTCTCTGTGTCAGTGGCTGAAAGGATTGTTCTGATCTTAGTTATATTTTTCTCCATGGTCTTTACCTCTGCTTCAATGGCATCCATCTCCTAAACAAAAGTTATAAGTGAATTCCAATTAAAATATAGGCAACATAATTAAGATATTTCATCCCAGTATCATAAACTAATAAGTAACTCCAGTAATGGAATCTCATAAAACCCTACAAATTAAGTATACACTGTTAGGGATGACAAAAGGTCCAATACTTTTTGTTGTGTTATGACACCAGTTTTTCTAGCATCCCAAATTGCCAAAAATATTTGTGATGTATTAATACAAACAAAGTCAGTTGCAAATCAAAGTTGCAGTACGACTCTTTTTTTATTAAATTTTTTTGAAGAAATTAATCATTTGAATTGATCAAAAGTGAAGATTAAAAACACTTGTGTTAAAAAAAACATTTCAGATTTCAGTTCAGTTTCAGAAAGATACCCATTTTTCTGAACTCATAAAAGAAACCTAAAATTATTAAGTAGAACAACTGTTTTCAACACTGATAATAAGTTTATTTCTTGATCATGAAATCAGCATATTAGAAATTACAATGATTTCTGAAGGATCATGTGACACTGAAGACTGGAATAATGACTGCTAAAAATTCAGCTTTACATCATAAGAATTAATTAGATTTTTAAATTTAAATATTATTTGATTATTTCACAAAAATAATATATAATAATGTAATAAAATTGAATTTCGCAATAACACTGTTTTTACTATATTTTTTATCAAATAAATGCAGCCTTGGTGAGTATATTATATTCTTTCACAAATATAAAAAATTCTTACCGACCCACAACTTTTGAACAGTATTGCACATTTTATGTAAATATAAACAGAAAAAAATATATATATTTGTTGAAATACCAGATATTTTTCAAAAACTTGATTTTTGAAAGTCTTTTTGAACATTTAGTTTTACTAAAACTTATCTGAAAAAGTCAGACATCCTTTACTTAATTCATATTTATTAATTAGCGTAATTAATTACGTTCACAAAAATGTTTTCCTAACTGTGAAATACTTGAAGGCTATGCACTACTGTTTGAATTTAATGTCTTAATATTTATGTTAATATATTTTCTATAAAACCACTATGATCAACAGAAACTGGTATTAGGAATCACAAAATTTCACTGGAACTGATAGAACTAAAAACTCTGTATTGGGACAAGCTTTGACACTGCAAATCCTTAGACAATAGAGAACATAACATTAAAAACAATTTCTTAAACATTTTTTGAATGTAATGATATTTCTTACAGCTGCTAGGTGCTGAAGGTGGGAGAGAGGGTCCAGAACGCTTTGCTGCATGAGTGTGATGTTTTGTACACACAGTTGGAGAAGATGTTGTTGAGGGGTGGTGTCACATACTGGAGTGATCTCCTGCAGAGCAGGCAGGAAGGCCTCCAGAGCTGCCCTGTATCCCTCCGATTCATCCAGCATCATCTACAGACACATAAAAAGAGCTGGTAACAAGTTACTGCATAAAGGCAAAATGTCTATAAATTGAGGTTTTGACCTGACCTCGAGGGAGTTGGCATGACAGTGGATGCATTTCGCAGTGGTGTAGGTTCTGTGTGCGACCAGCCAGGACTGAGCCTCTCTCAACCAGCAGTTGGAGCTATTGAGTAAACCCTCATAGTCCTGCAGACAGGCAGGGATCTAAAGGGACCAAGACACAAAGACATAATCAGTCAAAGTTTGCTATCAGTGGCATTATGTGTTGGCTTATGTCGTGAAATCATCTGACTTTGCTAATGAGGGCGGTCCTTTGCTCGGCCTGTTTGGCTGTGGTCTGGTAGTGCTGCAGAGGCTCCGTGAGCTGGTCCATGAGAATGTGTACTCTCTCAGGCTTCTGCTCAGCCAGATCCTGCACCTCAGCCTCCAGCTCAGCTATCCGAGTGTGCCACTGGTCCAGCTCATCCCATATGTGCTGCACACACAGGCACAGACGCACATCAGACCTCAGTTACTGCTGACATCAAATTTCATTGGACACAAACTAAAAATATGAGAGCTGGAAGAACAGTTGTATGTTCACTTTTATTCTTATTTTTTAAATATTTTTTGTATATTTTAAAAATTTAAAGAATTTTAGATATTTTACAGAAGTTTTGTTCACAAGTCTTCATATATTCTCTATATCTCTCTCTCTAGATATACATACATACACACACATACATATATATATATATATATATATACATATATATATATATATATATATACACACACACACATTACAAACAGTTTTTTTCGTGAAAATATATATTTTATATATACATATATATTTGTACAATTATAGAGTAAGAATACAATAAAATAATGTTTAAGTAATATGCAAAACTAAGTAAGGAGAGAGAAAAGAAAAACTAAGCAACTGATAGAAAGATATTTTCAATAATGTGCATGTGAAGGCAAGCAAGAAAGAAGCACCTTTTGTGTACGTTCAGCCTCAGAAAAATTAGGACTTGTTTGCTTCAGCAGGGCCTGCACACAATTCAAGCCCACTGTCACCTCTCCAACCAGCTCACCCATTTTGCAGAGAGGACCACTTCTCTCCATGACCATGACCAACTGAAAAAAAAAGATACAATTGTATTAGCTTTAATTTAAATTAACACACATCACAAATACACTGAAACTATAGGTGTCATATTAAATATATATTTTCTAAAAAGACACTAAAAACAAATGTTATTTTACATGTTCAAGGCATTTATTATAAAGTATTTATTATAAAAATAAATTAAGTGAATACTTTGTCTTTGGCCTCCTGCATGGAGACGTTGAGCTCATTGTGTAAGATCTGAATCTCTGCAGGTACACAGCTCCATTTCTTCTGCACTCTGTCCATGACATCCTGCAGTCGAGCCTTCTGTGAAACCAATTCCACTTTGACTTCCTACAGTGCAATACAACACAATATCAACACCAAGGACTGCAGAAACAGACAGCCTGCCTGTCAAACACAGGCACCAACCTGTAAGTGTTGAGCAGCTGACTCAGACTGTAAAGCCGTCAACAGAGAGAGAACATTCTGCTGAATGGCGTTCAGCTCCTCCTGCACACGACCCAACTCCTGTATCTCAAAAAGCACTTCCCGGCGGATGTTATTGCTCTGATCTCTGAGACTAAGCAAGAAAATGTCTGTAAATGTAGATTCTGAACATTTTCCCAACTTGTGTGTTTTTGTGCATGTGTGTACAAGTCAAACCTTCTGCAGTGACCCTGTAGAGACTGCAAGTCCTGACAGATTTGAGGACACACTTTCAGCTGCTGCAAATTTGAGACCCCAAGCAATCGTGCCACATGGTGTTGTAGAGATACTAAAGTGTGATGCTCCTGCTCAATCCCGTCTTGAAGGCGCTCAGTGAGGCTCAGAACACCCTGAAGATCCACTAGGGATCCCATACACAAGTCTGGGAGATCATTCTGCAGTCTGTCAAGACCTTCCTTTGATTTATTCAGCTGCACAGCAAACCCAAACATGAAAAGAAATGAGTTAACACACAGCTTACTTAATCATTTTACGAGAAAATTTAAATTGTAATAAGCTGAAAAAATCTATTTTTACATACGCGTATCACAAAGCCTCTCCACTCTGCTTCTTTATGAGACATGCTGGCTTTGAGAGATTCCACTCTGCACTGCAGCACTGCCCAAGACCTCCACAGTTGTCCCAGCATCAGATCCACGGGTGCTTTGCAGCGAAGACCTGGGCAGCTTTCCCTAAGTTCCTCCAGCTTTTTAAAGAGGTTCTTCAGCTCTGTCTGGAGCACCTGCAGATGAAGACGATTTCAGTGCATGCTAATCTAGCATACTTGCATTGTTATGAGATGAAAAGTGGCAAAGGGAACCATAAAAAAAACTGATTTTCAGAAGTCAAAAGGGAAGCAAAAGCAAGTTTTCACTGCTTTCCCAAATCATCTTAAGATCTCCATAGGCATTATTGCTATACATTTAACCTGTTAATGGTAAATGACCACAAACCTTTACTTTCAGCAGTTGATCTTGGCAGGCTTCAGAATCAGCTGGTTTTTGACTTAAAAATGTTGAGATTTGAGAATCAACATTTTTGAGAAGTTGACTCAGTTCTTCATGGTGACTCATGTGCACAATTTGATCTTTCATGGACCTAAATTGGAGCAGAAAGATTGAACCGTTAAAGGCAGCTAAATAAAAGTGCCTCTAGTACATTTCATTTAACCAAATAGATGTATTCCATTCAGACTAATTGTTTCAGAGCTTGTTTTCTGAGGAAAACGTTTCCAAGTACTCTACCTTATATGGCAAATATTTAAAGACCTTTCTGAGAAAATGCTTGATTATTTGTAGAAGTATTTTCCCCCAATAATCCAAAAATGTAAAGTCCTCATTATTTACAATTATAAAATGATTTTCCAATTTGATATAAAAATGTCAACAACAATCAGAGTGCATTGTGAATGCAGCAATCTGAATCATAGGTCAAGGTTAAGTTTTTATAGAAAAAACAATCCATAACGTGCTTTATAGAGTATGACTAACCTCTGTAAGGCCTCAAGTCTGAGCTGAGCCTGAGCTTCTAATTTGGCATCTTGTACTAGAAGGTGACTCAAAACTTCGATATGAAGCTGCTCGGTTAGAGGGATGGAGAGGCATGTCTGCTGGGGAACAGAAGCACCAACTTCAGACAAGCGGGCCTGGAAACCCTCAACCAGAGTGCTGGAAATCTGTTGAACACAGCGATGCTCCTCTTTGTAGCCTTTGAAGCCATCAGAGGGGATCATGAGATTGGATCCAATCTGCTGAAAGAAGCTCTCTGCACCCTGAACAGCCCAGTGGTAATGCTTCAGTGCCTCCCGAGCTTGGAGCAGCTTGTCCTGGACAACGAAACACAAATTATTTAGAAATTGGATAAACATTCATAGCTTTCTAAAAACTAGAGATGGGTAAAGCTATAGTTTTCCAAATGATTGTGATGTTAATTTGAACAACCCCAATATTGAGTTTTAAAACTCCAAGATATGTTGCTGTTAGTATAGCACTTCCCCTGCAGCAGATATCACAGTCTGTATTACAGCTAATGGAAAAAAAGGCTTTGTATTAAGTAGTTGTCAGGGGCTGCATGCAAAAACACCACAAAACATTACCAGTATAGTCTAATTCAAAAACAAATGTTGCAGGTTAATTTTAACCAAAAACATACTGTGACCAATGTTGCCCAACTGCCAAAGTGATTGACTCTTTTAAGAAGATTCTTTTAATGAATAGTTAAAAAAAAGATGAGTTACTGGTCTGAATTTGTAAAAAACACTAGAAAACTGAGAAAACTGAGATAAGTGAATACAACCAAATGAATCAGAATCAAATCAAATCAAAACCAAAATAAGAGCATTTGAATTCAAACAAACCAAATTGGGAAATCTATACACAGTCCTACTAAAAATACTACAAAATAACAATGCTGTCACATGCATGCTTGAAAACTACAATGGTTACAAAAAGTAGCATTCTAGTGGTATTAGTGATTTTAACATACATGGACGCATGGAGCTTACCATATGTATACCACAATCATTAAGAGTTCTCTGGCCGAGATCAATGGTCATCTGGTAGCTTTCAACATCTACTTCTTTCCTGTAGTGCTCCAACATTCGTAGAACAGACTCAACGCTCTGGATTAGCATCCAGTGCTTTCGTAGCTGTGTATCAATGGTCTTATTATCTGGCTCCAAGCAGATGGTCTCCTTCAGCTGCTGCCTGACACGGCTGAAGAGCTCAGTGAGTGGACTGAGGTCTGTAGGACTGCCGAGTCGCTCTGCCAGAGAGCACTCAAGGGTTTTAGCCTCATTTTTTACTGTGAGCTCCCAAGAGGCTAGCTGTTCAATGACCAAACGGATTTTGTGCCTTTCTGTTGTCAGCTGGGATGGATAGAGATCTTTCGAAATGGCCTCAAGGTGGTCAGCAGCTTCTTGACATGTCAATCTCACCAAAGGCAGCTCCACCAGGACAGTCTGACAAAAGCCAAGCCTTACATCAGCTCCTACACAGCAGTCTACAATCTGCGACAAGCTCTTCTTCACCGCCTCTCTGGAGTTCTCCATGTGCTGCCTTAAAAAGAGGTACTCCTCATGCTCTTTGACTTGCAACTCCAGCAGATGTATTCTCCTCTGTAGGTCTAGTACAGCGTTGAGCATCTCTTTCCTCCGAGGATCTGGGCAGTGGGGAATTTCCCACACTTTGCAGAGGAGCTCCATCAGCATGTGCTTAACAGGTTCAAGAGCTAAGAGCGAGTCCCTTGTTACGGGATACTTCTGCCTCGTGACATCAGCACTCATCTGTCTCAAGCTCTTCAGAATGATGTTCTGTTCCTCAGCAGAAGATTCATGAGCATGAAGGAGTTCTTCAAGCACCCAGTGCAAGGCCCACTTACGGTTCACAACCCTAGATACCTCTTCTTGTAAGGCTGTTAGCCTATTGATAAGCTGAAAGCTTTCGGGTACACTCAGACCGTAATTCACTTTTTTCATTTCATCTAACAGAGTCTCCAGATTATTTGCTTGTCTCTCAGCATCCTTCAAAGCCTCTGTGCATAGCTGAAGCTGAACCCTCAATTCTGGAATAGTAGTTTTAGGTTCAGAAGCCACTGTTTTACCAGACTCTTTTTCTAATACTGAGGTCAACCAAGAGCTGCTGTCAGTGATCTGTTTCCACAGTCTTTCTCTAATATGAAACATTCTGTTCATTTCTGCAACAGCACATTCGGTCTTCTCTGTAAACTTAACATACAAATCCTCTAGGAAATCGAGGGTGGGTGATATGGAATCCTCCTCATTGAGTCCTGTAACTTCCTCTCTTAGCTCTTTCAAAACAGAGGCCAACTGAAACCTCTTAAGAGATGTTTCAGACTGCAGTTTCTTCATGTGATTGACCTGGTGACTTGCTTCTTCAGGAAACAGAGACAACCTCCTTCTCCTACTGACTTTGCTTTCTGTTTGCTTAGCCCATGTAACGTAGTCCCTGATAATTTTCATGATCGGTGAGCATCCATTGCCATTTGAAGTCTGAGAGCTGATCTTCTCCTGAGTCAGAGCAAGCTGAGAATTCAAGCCCTGCATTGCGTCCTCCACATCTCTGAGCTCTTTTTTTCCCAGCGGACTTGAGGAAAGTGCCTGAGAGACCTCAAGAAGGTACAAGTGGCGCTCAGTTAACACCGCCAGGTCTGCAGTTCTCACAGTCTCTTGTAGCGCACTTTGACAGTCCATCTGTCCTTGAGAGGGATGCGGAAGAGAAACTGACTTCTCCAGAAGCTCCAGTTCGTATTGCAGCTCTCTGGCTTCTTGCAGGAGTGCAGCTACTTCTGCTGTGCAGATATTAGCACACCACAGACTGCTGGAAGCAACCTGCTCCATAGTTTGCCATCTCTCCTGTAAAGTCCTAAAAGGTTCAATGCAGGCCACAGGTCCCTCTGTCTCACCCAGATGAGCTGAAATCTGAGAGCATGTCTGTAGGTGCTCCTCTAGTATGCCTCTCTTCTCCTGCATGTTCTTCAGCAATGCATTCAGCTTCTCCACTTGCAAGGTGCTGCTGTCAATGCAATCCCTTCAAAAATGTGAGAATATGGTTACTTTTCAATGTTGTACAATATCTACTAGGGATGTTAATTTCGGCTATTTTTCCTAACCGACAACCGACACTCGTTAACCGATTATTAACAATTAACCGACAAGATTATTTTAAATTAGAATTGAATTAAATTAGAACGGATAAGTGTCTGTGACCCGTTAAAAATACTAACATTTGTTTCCCGGGGATTAATTTTAAATGCGCCAAAAGCAGCAAACAACAGAACATGATATATATATATATAATGAATAAATAGGCCTATACGAGAAAAGTATTTTTACTTAAATTATAAATTAAGAAAAACAAGTAGCCTAGTATGCAGAGTTTCGGTTCATTTTGTGCTCCGCGAAAAGGAAAAAGACGGCAGGAAGCGGCATCCTATTTTTCTTTAAGCTTATTTTACAAAAGCACAAAATAGATTTGTTTTTATTGTGAATGTACACAAATAAAGGCAAACCTTTTACAATTCCGATTATCTTTAGGACTAAAAGGAGTAGTTTCTTTCACTGTTAAGCCGGGCTCACACTGCGCGATTTTTTAAAAGTCCTTTAGGATTGTACTTGTCAGACTGTACGAACATGATGATCATGTCACACTGTGGGATCTCGGTTGTCATTAATGTCAGACTGTACGACAGTCAAGACGCGTTAAAAACGGGTGCGCACAAGAAAACCTGTCCGGAGTTTTACCTTATCAACCCATACACGTTCAGTGACTGCTAGCTGCATTGCACATGGGGCTGTAATGTTGGCTATCATTAAAAGTATATGAATGGCGGCAATACCGGCGTATTTATGCAGAATAGTGCAAGCAGCACTACACACCCATATGAAAACAGCAGCGCAACCGGTGTTTATTATAGCAAAGGCAACGAATCATATGAATTCCGTGAGCGGAGGACGAGAGCGCCGGAGTTTATGCGGTTAGAAGAAATCTCTAGTATCAATTCTGATCATGGCTTGTCTTGAAAAACGAAGACAGTTTGACGTTCGTCGTAGGAGATGTCACACTACACGACTGTGCGCCAAATCTTGACACTGGCTGTCGGTGAACATGTCAAACTAACGATGAAAGACTACAGATTTTAGCCTAGGATTATAGGAATCTTTTAGGATTTTCAAAATTTGTCTCAGACGACCAAATCGTGGCCAAAATCGCACAGTGTGAGCCGGGCTTTAGAAGGAAAAAAGTGATTGCGCCGGCGCTGCACGGCAACCTTGACAATGCAGCCTGTTCATTATCATAATAAAATACAGTCAGTCATACATATGGGGAAAAAACTATGTAGTAAAAAAAACAAAAAAAAGGTAGGCTGGTAAAATAATATGTAGTAAAATCTGTTAAGCCGTTAAGGTTAAGTGTTATCACTGTACCGCCGTGATGTAAAACATTTTGTTTTACGTGGATATTGGAACGCGAGTGAAGTAGGCTACATAATAAATAATAATTTGCCATTCAAATACATCGCGAATACGGAAACATTTGATTTTGTGTGGAATGAGAGACCCAACGTTGGTTTCAGTTTCGTTTTAACCTAAATTATTTCGTTTTGGCTTGTCATTTATATTGCTTTAGCTTCTTATATTTTTTATTATTTTCTAAATACTGTTAATTGAAAGGATTTGTTGTGGAGTGAGGGGAACTAACACTAGCTATGTTTACAGTGTTTATTATAATGTTTGTAAACATTTCGCGTCTGCATTAGGTCTATTTCTGAATGAAATAATAAAATGCGACTTATACGTGACTTAGTTTTTTTCCCCCCTAAAAAAATAATTTTTTATACGCGTAGCGTATATTAACCATGCAGCAAACTGTTTTAAATATTTTTATAAATTACTGAAAATATATATAATTAAATGACTTTTTAAACCAATTAACTGATTGTATTAATCGGTCAAAATTCTTAGTCGGTTAACCGGTTAAAATGAACATCCCTAATATCTACACTACCAATACAGGTACAGTACAAGTAATGGACACACCCACTCATTCCTTATTAGGACTATTTCCAGCAGTTTACTTCATTAACTATTTTACAAGAACAATACATTTAAAAGAAGATTTGTCTGTCTGTCTGTCTATCTATCTCTCTGTCTATTTTAAAGTAAGTTTTTAACTTTGCTTTCTTCCATGTTACTGTTTCAGAATATTAATTCTATTACAAATTAATTTATTTTCAAGTACAGTTTGAAGTTGAACACTAAGGCACAGATAAAGGTAAATACATTTAAAGGTAAAGGTAAATACATTTTAGGATCATCTCATCTATGTTAAAGATGAAATTCCATATGTAATGATTTTATACTGTACAAACTGTATTTTCTATCCCCTTACCCTACCCCTAAACCTACCCTCACACAAAACTTTCAGCAGATTTAAAAAAAAACTTCATTCTGTATGATTGATAAGCTGTTTTCCTCATGGAGACCAAAAAATGTCCCCACAAGGACAATAATTTGGGATATTGCCATCTTTGTAGGGTATACCGGAACACACACACACAAAAAATGTCAAGGATGCTCACTGTGTCAGTGTGCTGAGCTCAGCCTCCAGGTTGTGTAGAGAATCCGCGAGAGCCTGTTTTTGCTGGTGGTACTGTGTGACCTGCTGAAGCTGTGTCTTTTTGTACTCCACCATAGTTGAGGTATCCATCAGTACTGTGTTCAATCTGCCCTCTATGATCGTCTCAGGCTTTGTAGAGCGTCCTGCACTCCTGCACAATTCACTTTGAGGCAGTCTAGCCACCTGCTCCAAGACATACTGCCGGCAGATCTATGACACACAGATAGACACGTCATAACATTTACTTTCATTTTAAATGGTTATAACGTTTCACTCGGGTGCATGATACATGTATGTACTGTATATACATTTCAGAAAGTTTTAGTATTTGGTTTGTCCCTTCTGCTAAAGGAGCAGTCAAGCTGCATAAACTCCAGACATTTATGTAAAACCTAATAATGTTTCACCAGCATGACTTATCTAAGGATCATCTTGAGCTCCAATGGAAGCAAGAACATCTCACCTTTTAAACAAAGGAGTTGACATCATCAGTTACAAATTTGATTACATTTAACCTGGAAATCTGAATAAGTTCTGCTTCATTTTAAGTAATATTTGCTTGGTTGGAACAGCAGCTACGCTAATTGCGTCTCCATTTGCTTTTCTGTTTCTGACACGGGGTTGGCATCCTGCGGTAACTAGAAATTACAGAAGCTTCAGTCTGGATCCAACCCTTACGAAGATCTGAGATGACGAACACCTGAGAAGAGATGATGCCAACCCCTCAGATGATGCCAACCCTCAAACAACATACAAAACCACCAAATTTTGCTAGAAGTTTAATTGCAACACATAATCACTGCATATATAGTGTTCACCGTCTGTTTGATTACGTCATTAACTTCATGAATTTTACTGTACATTTCTGCCATATGGACATCAACTTGACAGTCTCCACTGATAAGCTACTACTAAATATAATGTAGAAACTTTAAATGAAATGAAACTTTAATGTATTAAAACTTACATTTTCTGTAAAGCTGCTTTGCAAGATTTGTATCGTGAAAAGCGTTATACAAATAAACTTGAATTGAACTGAATTAAAGTCATATGTTTTGTAATCAGACATCTACTGAAGCTAGTGAGGGGTTGTTCCGGCTCTTATCGAAAACGGTAGATTAGATCTTCATGACTAGTACTCACATCTTTTACTGTCAGCAGCTGTTCACAGCTGAAGGTTTTGGAGAAAGTGCAATGAGGTAATGTACTGTACCTCAGCTTCTTCCAGCTGATGAGTCATATGTGCAATGCTGAGTTGGGCTGGTCGGTACCGACATCTGAACACCCACAGGACAGTCCATGCCAGACTGCTCTCAGACTCTAAGAGTGATGCATTCTGAAACAAGGAATCTTTCCTTGGTCTAGATTCCTGCAAAAAAATAAAAGTATTACAATTTGCATAAAAATAATTTTTAATAATACCGGTAGTTTAAAAAAATGAAAAACTACAGTGAATTTTTTGAAAAAACAGATAGGAGTAAAATGGTACAGTTAAAAGCAGCACATATCACAGGAAATTCCTCCTTCCTGTGCAATTTCCTCCTAGAACACTTGAGGGAATATATGGTCTTCAAGTCAAAAACGAACTAAAAATTAGTTGATTAACAGATAAGAAAAAGTTCATTTTGGTTTGAGCTGAAGCCATTTTTTCTGTCAAAAGCCCAAATGTCAAGTTCACCGAAGCTGCTTGAGTTCTTCTAGATGTTCCTTGAACAATTCAGAATAAAATCATAATGCGTTTACATACAGGTACATACCTCAGAACCGTGACTGGTCATCAGTAGTGGCTGAACATTAGTGATGATGTTCAGTAAAACGGCCCACACATGTGTCCCAGTAGGCTGCTCCACATGCCTCGTTTTGTCCTCACCATCTGGTACTGATCCTCTGTTTTGGGGCGTTTTGTTCCCGGCAGATGGATGTGAATTGACTCTGTGCATTTCTTCATACTACAATAAAGCAAAAGTGTCACAGTTTATATTCCAATGAAAAATGTCACCACAACATTGCTTGCACCTGCTTTCGGAGCTCGTTTAAAAGAGAAACAGCTCTGCTGTTGACTCGTTAAGGCACGGTTTCGGAAGAACAAGGAATGCTGCCCAGTTGGGAATTGAGTCTTCCCTCTAAAAGGCGTGGTGTGCCTTCAGGCCTAAAACAAACTCAGGAGGCGGTACTGCAGGAAGTAATGCTAACAAAATGTAGTTGGCATAACGGAGCATAATGAAGTACTTGCTCACAGAAACCATACTGAATAACCGGTTATCAAAGCACATGGATAAGTGTCACACTATAACCATGATAAAGGCTAGAGGGTGATATCTATTAGAATGCCAACACATGGAATGATGAGCGAATGATGCCTATGGAAAATAATCATATCAAATCAGATCATGCATTCATTAAATAATATTTTGGTGTAAAATGACTGTTAAACTGCACTGGCAAAAAGTGCAAGGAAACAACATTCACAATTGTTGAACTAACTGCTTTGAGTGCACATAAAAATGGTCAATGCCAGTCTTTCGCACAGCTTGGAATAATTAGGACACATTCATATGATGAAAGTTCTTTCAGATAATTTTTTCCAAAAGAAGAAAATTACTTTAATTGTCTCAGTGCAAATTTGCACAGCTTTTAAAATCATTTCAATGACCATTTCAATGGTTTTCATTCACTGTAGTATATTTTGTTCATATACTTTAACAAAAGCCACAAGGCACAAGGTTGTAGCACTTTAATTAATAAATGTGATCTAACAAAGGTAAAGGGCCAATTTTGACCATACATGCTGTTTATATTGCTTGTAATTGGAATGAAGTAAACATCTGTTGAGTATTTTTTTATATATCATTTTTAATTTTGTTGAATTAAAAACCCAAAACTGCAGCGGGTCCACCAGACCCACGAACACTGGCTGAGTAACAAAAATATGAACACCACACAAGGGTTAATTCAGATATGGAACATGACCACCATGGTGTTTGAGAGTGATGTCAAATGAGACTTGTGCAATAGATTGCCTGTATTTCTTTTTGTATTTCAATAAGAAAACAACCATTTTAATCTTACCTGCAAAGGGAAACTGCCATCTGAATCCTCTGTCCTCCAAGCTTCAGCATGGCTGAGTTGTGAATCTGATAGGACTGCGGTAGGAATTTGAGTTATACAGTCAGCTGTCACAACAGATGAAGAATCTGTTGCCGTTAATTCTGAGTCCTCTGTATGTGTTGACTGCACAGACTCCACTGCTGCTAAAACCACACTATCTGTGGTACTAATATGGGCACCTCCGGCAAGTGAGATGCTAACATTTTCAAAATGTCCATCCTCTGTCTCCGTTTGATTCAAGGTCTCTTTCTGCACAGTGTCCACTGTTAGTTTGTCTTGTGTGCTCAATGGCTTTGCAGTGTTTGGCTGACTAAAGTCCGAAGACACAGTCAGTGAAGTATCTGTGGTGTCGGGCAACCTAACCTCAGAAGTTTGAAGGCTTTCCGAGTCAGTTGTGTTCTTGTGCTGAGATTTACATGCGTTCAGCTTTTTATTACCGACATTGTTTGCTTTTTCTACACCAGCTGGTTTTCTGTGCTTGTTCCTGCCTTTAGCAACTTTTGGAGGCTTTTGAAGGGGCTTTGCTTCATTTGAAGCCTCTTCAATGGTGTTTTTGTCATCCTCATCATGACTCTCCAACACTGGGACATTCTGTTGGTGAACTACAGACTCTGACTCATTGCCTTCTCCAGTGTGGACATCCATTTGACTGGATGTTTCTGCATCAGTGACTTCATGTTGCTTCTCTTTTTCATCTTTTTGAACATCAATCTCCATGACCTCAGAGGTTTGGGCTTGGATAAGCTTAGCTGCCTTCTGTCCTGGCTGCATTTCAGAGCTACTTGATTTCACACTGGACTCTTCTGATAAATCTAGCTCAGCCATTTGCCCTTCAGGTTTCTCAGTACCAGAGGAGATCCTATGTTGATTTTTTACATCTGAATGGGAGAATTCATCTGTGGTTGAGTCTTCAGGACTTGTACACTGTGTCTCTTGCAGTGATTGATACCTGTCTGATGATAATTCAGGAGTATCAACATCCAGGACGATGGTAAATACTTTCTTAGCAGTTCCAGAGCTTCCTTGATGCTTCTCTGGGTATGAAAGCATTGGGTCAAATGCTCGAGTAGATGAGTCTTTCTCTGGTTTAGGCCTGAAATCAAGGTCTAGATCAGAATGAGTGGGTTCAATATTATCGGTGTGGCTGTTTTCTTTAAACTGCACTTCTGATTTTGAAAGATCAGCACATAAATGTAGAGGTTCATCAGAAGAGCTTATTGCATCATGTTCTTCATCCACAGCTAAATCAACATTTGGTTTGACTTCCAAGAGTTTCAAGCCATCTGCTGATGTCTCTGCGGTCCTATCATGAAAAACTGAAACAGTATCCCATTTAGTTGAAGAAGCTGGGACAGCTTGTGTTAGTGGGTTCTGGTCGGGTTTGGTAAGATCAGAGTCCAGCACTATGGTAAAGACAGGCTTTAATGATTCACAGGATGAGCCATGAGTGGATTTGGTGTCACCTTCTCTTAATACAGATCCAGTTCCATCCATCTCTTGAGATCCAGACATGAACAGCTGCTTATTTGAGTCGTGGCCTGATGGAAGGTTCCCAAGATCTTCGGTTGCTTGTTGTTCTGAGCAAGGTGATAGATCTTCTGTTTCACTAACGTCCTTTGTGGGCAAGAATTTTACATTCATACGATTTATGTCATCCACTTCACTATCAGCGGCAACCTGCAATCACAAAAACGTAACTATTATGACCCAAAATTGATAAACACCATTCAGCAATATATGTGTGTTTATTCAGCTCCTGGACATTTGTTATATGATTTTTTTTAAATAAAGCTATAATGGATACTGCATATCTAAACATTTATCTGAAACCGTCCCTGTTTTAAATAGTCTAAATCAAGCTCTAAATCGAGTTTTACACTGGAGCAGGTTGCTTAAACGGAGTCAAAAACTGAAATTTATTTGTTGGTATGTCAACGGCTTTGCATAAATTCAATAGTTCCAATTTGATTAATGACTCTTTTGATGCCCATATTAAAGTGGTCTCAAAAGCTGAATTTTTCCACCTAAGAAATAGCCAGATCTCAATCTTCTCTATCATTGCCTGATGCAGAAAAGATTATGCATGCCTTTATTATGTCAAGGCTTGATTATTACTTTATTTTAGTCTCCCTGATAAGTCTATCAAGAAATTGCAATATATTCAGAATTCAGACGCTCAGGTACTGACTTACACAACTGCCTGTCAGCAAATTTCCCAGATACTTCGAAACTTGCACTCATAACTTCCCATACATGCACGTATTGTATTTAAAATTTTGATTCTAACATTTAAAGTTATTCATGGGACAGCCCCTGCTTATATTTGTAACTTAGTTGTCTCTTATTCTCCGCTTTTCTGGTTTGTGTTTTCTTCAGAAGCCTTCATATAAATTTAAGTCTTTTCAAAGCCGTCTGAGTGCACTTTGTTATTTAGTCGTACTTTATTGTTATTATTTTACGCTGTGTAGTGCTTTGAGTTTCAGAAAAGTGCGATATAAATAAAATGCATTATTATTATTGTTATTATTATTATTAATCCTTCACCCAAGTGATTCACAAAGGCCTTTTATGCTGTCAGCATGTGCGCAACCCACTGTACCACTTTCCAACTCTCTAAATAAAATAACAGAAACCATCAGGCAGAGCAGAATAATGCTGATAATGCAGTCTAAAGATAAGCTTTGACATCAGAAATGCACCTGCTTAAAGTGATGTGCCACAAAGCAAATCATCCAGCATCCAGTATTTTTCTCAGAGAACAGGTAAAAAACAAGTACTTAAAAGCAATGAAGTGCGTCCTTCATTAATGGCCCTAGACGAAGAACAGAGTGGGTACTCCATTTAGCAGGTTTTCACTAGGATAGAGTAATTTGTGCTCATGCCACCGTGGTACACTCAATGACATTTCTCCTGCCGACATTAAAACCAGACCCAGAAAAAAAAGCAGTGTACGTCTGTCAAAGAATAATTGCAGACAAGAGATTCCTCTCAAAACACAAATTATGTCATTGTTTACTCACCCTCAACTCATTCTAAACCTGTATTGACTTACTTTTTACTGAAAACAAGATGTTTTGAAAAATGTCTCAGTAATTTTTTACATTCAATAAAAGTCAGTGGGGTCTAGTGTTGTTTTGGACCCCACTTAGGCTGTCCGCACACTAGAGGATTTTAAGGCCGATTTTAAGCCCGATTTGCACCCCCGAACGATCAGGGGTGTGTGGGCCGATTCATGGCTCGTCGCAAGCAATTTTTTTTGTCCAAAAAAATCCTCTATTGTGTGGTGTCATTACGATTATTTATCTGCTCCAGATCGAGACGGAGCATCGCCGAACTCAAATCGTAAATATCAAACATGTCTGATATTTACGACTCTTGATCGGGCTGCCTCTGACGTGATGCCCACGATAGCCAGTGAGAGCGAACAAGCGTCACCAACCGGATGTTGCATGCTTCCGTAGCTGAAACTTGGCAGCCACAAACGTGCCATGAAAGCAGAGAACATCACCCATATTCTTTTCTATACTTTGTTTTTCACTGTGCAACAGAACACGCAGGACCTCAGAAAATTTCTCAACCTCTAGGTTTCCTTCCACTTGTTCTACAGCCTACCAAGAAACCACCAAGGCAGTTAGTCTCATTACATTAGGCGTCTGGAAAAGGCTAATCAAGGCTATCATCTCCACTGCAGTTTAAAGATGGCTTTGAATGTAAAAGATTTAGCTTATTTCAAGTTAACTAAAACTTCACAGAATTTAAATCAAATTCAAAAATATTAAATACTTTGACAATTACTAATTTGAAAAGGATGAAACTATAACCTTGCTGAGGAGTTAGTAACAAATACATTTCTAAAACAAAGCAAAAGTGTAAGTTTAGTGGTACAGTATTTTATATTTGAGCGTGTATGATTGTGAGTGAATGGTTTTTGGCTGCATCTTTAACCTTTAATACATTTGAGTCATTAGAGCTGCCCTCTATCCGACCCTGTAGGGAGTCCAGACTCTCGTGGCTCTGTTGTATTAACATTGCACACTTCAGCTCCTCAGTCATACTCTCACCAAGATCAACACACACATCCTGAACAAAAACATTAACACAATTACATATAAACATGACTGCAGCAGATAAAGATGTCTGAGAACCTTTTATGGAGATACATTACAGCCACAAAATGTTCAGCTATCACTGCACATTAAATGCCTAATATTGTGACCCTGGACCACAAAACCAGTCTTAAGTCGCTGGGGTATATTTGTAGCAATAGCCAAAAATACTTTGTATGGGTCAAAATTATTGATTTTTCTTTTATGCCAAAACCAAAAATCATTAGAATATTAAGTAAAGATCATGTTCCATGAAGATATTTTGTAAAATTCCTACTGTAAATATATTCAAACTTAATTTTTGATTAGTAAAATATGCTTTGCAAAGAACTTCATTTGGACAACTGGCGATTTTCTCAATATTTAGATTTTTTTGCACCCTCAGATTCCAGATTTTCAAATATTGTCCTATCCTAACAAACCATATATCAATGGAAAGTTTATTTATTCAGATTTCATGAAAATTGACCCTTATGACTAGTTTTGTGGTCCAGGGTCACATATTTTCTGTAATAAAAAAAATATTATATTATATTATATTATTTTATAATAGGCAGTGCATGTAGAAATGATCTGTTCAAAAATCAATTTCCTTTAGTGCGTCAGATGCTTCTTTTACTATATGACGAGCTGAAATAGAATTGAAATTGCTGTTAATAGACAGTGCATAACTCTTATATCTGAAGTAGTTACCAAGAAACAAACTGATTCTAGTTCTCAAAGCTAAAAAATGTTCTCATTTCAGTTCAGGTATTTTAAAGACACACCCTTTGAGTACAAACAGACCCATGGCAAGAAAAGTACCTCCACTGCTGTGAGTTTCTCCCATCTGTTCACATCCTCAGAAACCTGCAAATCTCCCTTCAGATGCAGTTCACCGGCCCAGCTGCAGGCCTGCTCTTTGAAGTCCTTCAACTCATCTTTTGTCTTGCCTCCTTTTGACTGTTCCTCTGTTTTACCATTAGATTCAGACTGTATTTCTGGCGCAGTATCTTCTGTTTTTTCAATCAAGGGCTTGATGTGCTTAGGGTCTTGGACCATTTGATTTTCAGGTCTGTTGGGGTTCATTGCTTGCTCTCTCTTCTCTATGGCCAGCTCTCTGGCAATGCAGATGCTTTCTCGAAGGTGAGCTCCATCTTCAGCCAGCGTCTGCAGGTTTTCTAGACCTGCAATGCTTGCCAGAAGACTTATCTGCTGCAGTAATGCCTCTGCCTGCTCTGCCTCCGCTTGCAACTGCGCCGATAAGTCCTGCCAGCCAAAACGGTTACATTAAAGGATCAGCTCATCAAAATTTTTTTAGGTGAACTGATTGAAGGTTTAAATAGATTTAAAATCAAGTACAGTATGTGACAGAGGCATTGTGCACATGTAGATCAAAACGGGCCAAAACTGAACTTCACTACACTGCTGCATTGCATTTGAATGTGTTCTCAGCTTAGTCTTAAAGCATAAACATTCACCTGGATTGTTTTGAGGACCAGTGGGCTCTCAGATGTAGTCAGTGCATTTGTGATAGTCTGAATGGAGGACAGGTGATCTGCGATATCAGATGCCACCTTCCCCTTGGCAGCTTCCAGTTGTTTAAAAACATCACTGGTCTCAGAAAAGAGCTCCTTCACCTCTGCCATCTTCTTCCTCAGCTGGCTCTCAATCACCTTTAAAAAAATAAACTACAGTGAATTTGCTGAAATTTAAAGAGTGGTCAATGTGCTAGCCTGGTTAATACTAATACATGAGGTTTACCTATACATAGGTTTACAACAGTATATCACATCATTTTTGCATACAAATGTCATTACACATTGTCTAGCATTAATTTAAAAAAAAAACTGCATTGTGAAAAGTTGCTGGTGTGTCTGAAATCACCTGTAGCTCCAGTGGGAACTCACGACTCTGCAGCAGCTCCTGGATCTCTGAAGATCTGCGATGGAAATGTTCAATGTTCTCCTCTTCAATCTTGAGCTCATCCTGTGCAAAACAATTATAGTTGAGACATTTATTTGATCAAAAATACAGTAAAATCTGTAATATGTCATTTATTCCTGTGATGGCAAAGCTGAAATTTCAGCAACCATTACTCTAGTCTTCAGAGTCAAATGATCCTTCAGAAAGAAATATTCTCAATCGTTCTAATATGCTGATTTGTTCAAGAAACATTTCTTTTTTTCTGGATTCCTTGATTAAGACAAAGTTAAAAAAAACAGCATTTATTGGAAATAGAAATATTTTGTTCCTTATTTTCTTTTGATCAATTTCATGCATCCTTTATTTAAAAGAAAAATCTTATTTAGCCCAAACATTTGAATGGTAGTGTAAATATCACTAACAATATCATGTTTCTTTCCATAAATGTTCAGTTGATGACAAGTTACAATGATTTACTTTTCTCATTTAACATCCAAAATATTTAACATTGGTCTCTAATTCAAAAAAAAAAAAAAAGGGTATTTGAAAGTTATACCAAAAAAGGTTTGTCAGTTGACAAAGGTTTCACCTGCATGGCAGACACATCCTGCTCTGTCTGAAAGGGGTGTGACTCAGCAAGTGTCATCAGCTTTTGGGCGCTCCAGCCGTCCACCTCTCCAGCCAACAGTAGGAGTTTTTCCCAAAATGAAAAGCCAGCTTGAAGGTTGTCCAGATGACAGTCTGCCTTCTCGGTGACCTGAAATCGCAGGTTAATGCAAACACTGAACATTTTTAGAAAAATAGAGTGAGAGTATTTCTATCACATTACGGCATTACTGAGGGAACATACATCAAGCCAGCGGTCCATGAGGGTGTCAGCCTCACTCTCAAATGGAGCGTCTGCACAGTCTGGGATCCTTCTCATCAGAGACTGCAGCTGTCGACACACTGCTCTGAACTCCTCCACCCCGTCCCCAAGACCACTGAGATCTGACTTTATACTGGTCACCTGCACACATACACAAAATCATCACATAGTCATGCAGTTATTTATACTCATTCTGACCTCAGTTTTATCTAAGGAATAAACTGTATACATTTTACAAAATATTAGTCTGCAGTTAATACTAAAAATCATCTAAAATGATGCAGTTAATACTGCCATCTGTAGTCCACCAAGAATGGAAGCACTATACTCAGGATTTTTCAGTATTTCTGTACCTTACGGATCAGGAGCTGCAGGTTGTCTTTGCCCATATAGGAGGCCTGATCACCAATAGTCTGCTCTGCTTTCTGCAAAGTGCTGCCCAAGCGATTTCGGCAGCTCTGGAACTTCTTCAGTAGTTCGCTCAGACAGACACACTGTTCACGACTGAAACAGAAGCATGAAACATGTGAAATGGCATTTCACAAAGTGCTTTCCTGTAATCATGAGCATTTCTCATCACCTCTCTTTGACTGCTCTCTGTGCGTTTTCCCATTGCGTCTGCAGCTCACTGATGGCTGTCTCTGAGGTGCTTGTCTGTGCACAAGTATTTCTCAGATCCTGAATCTCTGAGCGTAGTGCAAACAGTTTGCTCTCCATGTCTGTCAAGAAGCGTAACCTGAGAAAGAGAGAGACACTGGTGAGATTAAGACAGAGGCATATCGTCTCCTTTACGGTAATCAATTTAGAGGTATAAAATTCTCAGAAGTCATTCCACATTTTTTAAACTATCTGAAATGGATCAAATATAGGTGGTACTGTGAGAAAGCACTCATGCATCAATCACAACATTTATAAATGTATCTTATTTATATACATGTCTATATATATTGTGGTGAAAGTTTATTCTAATATATATATATATATATATTACATACAGGTTTGAATAACATAAGGCTATAGCATGAAAACAGCCACATCATATCCTTTCTCGTTTGGTTATTTATTTTAGCACCATGGTGAGAGACAGGTGGGTAATATATATATGTATATATATATATATATATATATAAATAAAAAACAAGTTATTTTAATTGACATAACTATCTTTTTTGACATAACTTTTTTTAATTGACATAACTTCTTTATTTTTGTGTAAATTAAATTAAATCGAGTTAAACTAAACTTGCTTTAGAAATATTGTATGCAAAACAGAAAAAGCAGCCCTAATTTTTTATTGTATTTTAATTTATTGTATATTACAATTGTTACTTTAATTAATATAACTTGCAAACTAAATTAAATTATGATTAAATAAAATAAAAAGGTACTAATAATGTTCATTTAAAAAACTGCAAAATACAATATCAAATTAAATGATTTCTAAAGCACATTTAATTTATTGTATGCATAAAAAAAGGAAAAATCCTGTTTTATTAAGTTGATTTTTATATTGCAACTGTTATTTTAATAAATATTACTTTAACAGTTTTGGTTAAGCTAGCATTCAAAATATTGTATACAAAACAAAGAGGAAAAAAACATAAGCAGTCCTGTTTTAAAGTGTGCTGACCTGTGCTGTAGTGCAGGAACTGTGGGCTCCTTCAGGCCATGTTTTTCGAGTGCCGTCAGCACCTCCCTCAGGGCGACCTGCAGGCCCATCCTATTCCTACCGAACACTCGGTCTCTCGGTTCTCCCTCTGCTCTTCCTTTCCCTCCTCTGTCAGTTTGCTTCAGCCCTACAGCCAGTCTGGTCTCGACCTCTTCGGCACGCAGTGCCAGAGCTGACACCATCTCTTGACAGCTGCCTGGTTTGTCATCCAGAGTTATTCTCATGCCAGCATCATCCAGCATTCGGTCTAGCTGAACCGATTCTTCTCTGGCCTGCTGAAGGCTTTGCCGGATGGAGACTAAACTGCGATTTGATGTGCTGTGAGCTGCTTTGAGGTCTGCATTCACCTGCTGAAGATGTGATAAGAGGTTCACGAGGCCCATCAGGGCCAATTCACTCTTTCTCAGACGTTGTCTTTGCTGGTCCAAGCATTTTGTGAGGTCGTGGAGAGCTTGCTGAAGGGGAAGATGAGCTTGGAGCTCAATGTGACTCAGATCAGCAGCGTCACTAACTGAACCGCCACTCTTATTAAGCAGAAACAGCTCTCTCTCGATACTTTTATCTAGACGCTGAAAAAAGAACAAAGAGGTCAGTTTGAACATGCAAATCTAAGGTACATTATGCAAATATTTGAATGTATGCTTTGAATAAGCAAATATTTCTCAAAGGTAAAGTTATCAAAAGGAAAGCCCAGCATTTTAGACCTTTTTCACCTGTGAACAGATGTTCTACAAAACTTTTTTAAAAAATCAGGATATGTGAAAGGTTCTAAAATACACAACAAACTCTGGAAAATATGCATAAGCTGGACATTTTAAAAGAAAAACATTGGGAAGATGAGCTTGGAGCTCAATGTGACTCAGATCAGCAGCGTCACTAACTGAACCGCCACTCTTATTAAGCAGAAACAGCTCTCTCTCGATACTTTTATCTAGACGCTGAAAAAAGAACAAAGAGGTCAGTTTGAACATGCAAATCTAAGGTACATTATGCAAATATTTGAATGTATGCTTTGAATAAGCAAATATTTCTCAAAGGTAAAGTTATCAAAAGGAAAGCCCAGCATTTTAGACCTTTTTCACCTGTGAACAGATGTTCTACAAAACTTTTTAAAAAAATCAGGATATGTGAAAGGTTCTAAAATACACAACAAACTCTGGAAAATATGCATAAGCTGGACATTTTAAAAGAAAAACATTGTGTCAGTTGTCCGATTAGTGATTGTGAGGTGTGAAAAACCTTTAGATCTACAAGTATCTACAAGCACAAAGATGAATTTGGAGGATAATGTACCTTTAGTTCTTCATGTAGATTTTTGGGATCAGCAATGGCAACGTTTCTGATATTGAGAGGTTTCTGACTGATCTGTTTGATCTGATCAGAAATCAGTCCAATCTGAATGTCCGCTGACTGCAGCAGCTCCAACGCAGTTTCAAGGGACTTCACCCTGAGCAATATATAAAATAACATTATAATTGTGCCACTTAAACACTTATGGCTAACAGTAGCTCTGCTCCAAAACCTAGCAAGCTCCCTTGCAACATGGTCATGGAATCTTACAAGTGACAGATTTGAACCTGCTTTCGAATGACAAGACCACAAAAATAGAGCTCCACATGGGAGGCCTGAGAATTGATTACAATTAAGTTTGACAAAATAGTTCATTTTTATTTATTTACCCTAAACTTTTTCATAGATACTTTTAGGCCTGGGCGATAAAATGGTATCGATATTTATCGACGGTACACCTTCATTGATAACGATATAAAAAATGTTTGATATAGCGCACGATATAGGCACGTACTATGAGTGATGCAGACAGCTCACACAAACATGAACGCATGCTGAATTGAGTGCTGTGCCTGCCTGTGATGAGGAGATTGAGAATAAAAACATTAATATTAGTCGAATTTAAAATAAACCTTTGCATTTGAATGCAAAAATGGTACAATCGAATGTTAGGAGCGTGTCAGGGAGCGTCATCAGTGGAGCGCGAGATGCAGTGATGATGTAAGTGACGTTGTATTTTAATGTTTTGTTAGTCTAGCCCACGAGACGCGCCGCTGCGGTGTTATTCGTTCAAAATATTAGAGAAATATAGTAGCTCAATGTGTAGAAGATCTTGATTAGGTTAAAACCAAAACCAAGCCATTCACACAGAACGCATATTCAGCACATTTTTAGACGGACAAATATGACTGCTGCACTCGCGTCTCACAAAAGAGATGTATAGAAAGCCATGCAAAGTTAAAACAGTTTTAACGTTTAGAAAATGCGACGCAAATTTGTGAAGGTTTATTTCATTTCACTGCATCTCATTTGTTTTTAAATGCAATCTGTGTGATCGGTGATTTGGCTCTTTGAATTAGGCTAAGCAATGCATAAACACATGATGCTGTTTTGTTCATAATTGTTTATGCGGTTTACAAAATTATATTTGTTTTATATACGTTACTTTAGACGTTATGCACATTTTTATAGACAGTTATTTGAATTGACAGTTTAATGCGCTGCATTATTTTGCTCATTGCACCCTCCTGTGGCCTCGGGAAACAAGTCAAAAGTTTCCTTAAAGGGGTCATATGATGTTGCTAAAAAGAACATTATTTTGTGTATTTGGTGTAATGAAATGTGTTTATGCGGTTTAAGGTTAAAAAAAAACATTATTTTCCATATACTGTACATTGTTTCTCCTCTATGCCCCGCCTTTCTGAAACACGTCGATTTTTGAGAAGGGTCTGGCTGCAGACTTGCACTTGCATTCTCAGACTTGCACTCTCAGACACTTGCGCTTCCGCAATTGACATCACTTGCAGTCTTTTTTCTTTTGTTCTATTTATTGATTACTTTTTGTTTGAATCTCTCAACATTCTACAACAGTAGCCAGGTGGTGAAGACAAGAAAAAAGAAGCTAAATTACAATGTCACTTGCAATCGCCACTTGCACTCTCCGCTACCTGCGACGTCACTTGCAATCGACACAAATCGTGCATGTTGCCAATGGAGACAAGACGCTGTGGTGGTGATTAAACGATTAAAACTAATTTAGTACTATAACGTACAGGGTCCTGCAAGAAAAAGACAAGACCCGCAAATCCGTGGCCACAGAACAGCAGAATATGAACGCAATGCACAAAGTCTCTCGTTAAGCGTTTTCCTCCTGTAGAAAAACAAACACTTAATATTTTTGCATAATAATGTTTACATTTTATTTTGTGTTTGACTGTTAAAAAATAATATATAATCCCTATATATATTTGTTGTTTGTCTTAATAAAATGGGCAAATTAAAAATACAGAGGTTAAATAAAAAAAAAAAATTTATATTGCTCCGTTTTAAAAAAGGTTATAAAAATGTCAATAATTATCGATACCGAACAATATGAAAAACCTATATCTTTGATATATTTTTTTAGCTATATCGCCCAGCCCTAGATACTTTTCAGAAATGAATGACAAATGTTTATATATATATATAAAAAAAAATGTCCTTATGCACAGAGTTTGTCCCATTCTGGATTGCCTACATGTGTCTCACCTGGCCTGAATGCACATCTGTTGCTCCCTCCACTGTTGAATGAGCTGAGTTCTCTCCTGCTCCATGTTACAGCCATCTTCCATGTGCTGAGAGCTCTGGGAACACTGAAGCTCAAACTCACGCCACAGAGCCTCCGTCCGGTCCTTAAGAGCCTAAATGAGCACACAGCTGTTTGTATACAAAACACACCCAAAATGCAGGAAAGTGGTGAAGGAGACTAACCAGTATGTTCTGGAGTTGAGTCCTCAGTGAGTCAGCAGAGATACTGGCATTGCTGATGGGAAACTCTGATTCCAGCTGCTGACTGTTGTTAAACAGTTGCTGCTGGAGGACTGACTGTGCAGCACTGTAGCTGAAAAAAAATGTGCACATAAAATGCTTATAAAGATGAATTTTTAGATTTCAACTATTAAATAAATAATGAATACAATTTAAATTTATTTATTTATTTCATAAAGTAATCATTATGAGCATTTTAGAAGGTAGCAGCATATAAATTGCATATAGAAAAGTCCTAAAATTGATTTTTTTAGGAAAGCCAGTTACATCCTTATATAGTATTGACAGAACACGGAAATATATCCATTTCTTGAAGGTAAATTGTATCTAAAATGTTTACCTGCTCTGAGTTTCCTGTGCCGAACAGGGATGGATGACGGTCCTCTCTGGTATCTGTTTTCTCTCCACGATGTTGGTCTGGACAACAGCCTATGAGAGAACGACCATAGCGTCATTACAAGGGGTCAAACGACCCCAGAACAAGCGAATACACTCTTCAGCAGCTCTAACCAATCTCAGCAGATTAACTTCTCTGAGCTGTCCATGTGCTTAAGAAGGTCAGCAACATCCAATCAGAGCTGAGAAGTTCTCATAAGGTTTATCTCCATGTTTAGCTACAAGCAAACTTGACTATGCCAAGAAAACGTGCCATGTTAACACTGGGCAGGCATAGAGCTCACAGATGCTCAAGTAAAGTACCTGCCAGTGTAAAGTCACGCTGGTGTGAGAGACTGAGAAAGAATAATGAAAAAAATACTCTTAAAAATATACTGCACTGACCAAAAAGAGGTGAAACATTCACGTCGTGCACACAGCACATGATCACGTGTACCTGTGAGTGGACGCGGCTCAGATCATCCACCAGTACAGTCTTTCTCAGCAGGACACAATCCTTAACTGCTCCCCCCCTGCTGTGAACACACGTGCACATGTTTACTTAGTTATGTTAATGATACACAGAACCACAGACATTTAGATAAAGCTAACTATAATTACTATATACTAAACCTAACACTTAAGAAAGCTGTGTATGTATATACTGTGAGGTATGTACTGTACACAAACACAAATATATAAGAGACCACTGTAGTTAATTTAGTCTGTCTATAAGAAAAGCCAGAGTTTGAAAAAGACATGTAATAATATTTAGAATTTGGGGTTGTTAATATTTTTTATTTTTTGAAAAAATTATCTTATGCTCATTAAGACTGCACGGATCAAAAACACAGTAAAAACAGTAATATTGTGAAGTATTATTACAATTTAAAATAACTCTTGTCTGATTTCTAATACAATCCTTCAAAAATCATTCAAATATACTGATTTGGTGCTGTAGAATTTTTTTTATTGTCAATACAGAAAAAGTTGTACTACTTAAAACACCATTTATTTGAAATAGATTTTTTTCTACTATGATCCATGTATTTGCTGCCACTTTAAATCCATTTAATGTATTCTTGCTTAATAAAAGCATTTTTTCTGACCTCAGTCTTTTGAACAGTAGTGTACTATAAGTTAGTTAAAAAAAACAACAACAACAACAACACACTCTTGGTACATGTGACAGACAGGTCATAAAATAAAGTGGGTTTTTTTACTTTTCATTTTTATTTCTAAAACACATACTGTATCAGAATATATATTATTAATTTAATATAACAGATATTTCCATTATGTAACCCCAGCATTTCCAACGTTTCTTACGTACCCATCCTGGCATGGTGCCAAGTCACTTGTGGAGTCTGTGTGGCGTTGAATGTTCTCCACCCTCTCCGTGTCTGTTCTCAGATGGGTGGTGCGGAGAAGAACACTCTCTGTGGGCTGCAGACTCTCTGCAATTTTTCTCAAGGCTTCCAGATGCACCGAACGCTCAGCTGCTGTGGCACATACCTGTGGTTTAAACCCAAAACAAACTGATTCCAAACTCTTCCACAATAATGATATAATGAACTATATCGAACCATAAAATTTGACTACCACAAAAATTTTTTATTACAATTGTGGTTTGGGGATAAGCATCAAGATTTATGCTAATGGGAGTTCCCATTACAGGTAATGAGGCTTGCTAACTTAGCTAACTGGTAGTGATAAGAGAGATATGCATGCAAAATATGATTATATAGCTGAAAAGAAAACAAGTAACCGTCTATATCAACCTGTCAAAACATGCATGCAGTCAATAAATGATCAAATTTACAACAAAATCAACTGTTGATGATTTAACAATTATCAAATGATAAAACTGAGGTTTAAATAAAAACTACTGGATTAGGTTTAATAGCATTCAGAGACTTGATGGACAGGAATAATCTTCATAAACTGATAAAAAAGTAAAACCGAGTAAACGTTACAAGTACTGAGCAAAGACGAGACTAATTTGGACTTAATGCAGTTATGTTCACATGCAGAGGCATGTAGATTAAGGAATGCGTTACCTGCACGCACACAGAATTACATTGCCTAAATAACAGGACAGGGTGTTATATATACAGTAGTAGATCCATCAAAAGAGGCTATGATTTAATCATTAATGCTGGGACAAGGTCACATAAGGACCATGTTGTTAGGAAACATGGTGTTTCTTTCCATTGTTTTGCAGATGACACGCAATTATATGTGTCATTTAAAGCGAACGATTCCAATGCCCAAAAACCTCTATTGGATTGCTTAAATGATTTATAACGTTGGATGTCATTGATTTTTTTTTATTTAAATGAATCCAAAACAGAGATTGTTGTATTTAGTCCTTCTGATGGGTATGATACTCAGAATCTCAATTTGGAGCAGTTATCTTGCTTCCATAAACCGGGTGTAAAAAACCTGGGTGCGCTATTTGATAGTTCCCATAAGTTTGATAAACAGATAAACTTGGTTGTAAAATCTAGCTTCTACCATCTAAGGCTTTTGGCAAAAGCAAAGCCTTGGCTCTCTTGCAAAGACTTTGAAAAGGTAATTCATGCCATTATCTCTACCCGTCTTGACTACTGCAACTCTCTCCATGTAGGAATAAACAAACTATTTCTATTCTAAATCAATTTTTTTTAATTCAAATGGTGCAAAACTCTACGGCGAGATTTCTGTTGAGTGTACGAAAATGTAAACATATTACCCCAATTCTAATGTCTCTTCATTGGCTTCCTGTCCACTATAGAATTGATTTTAAGATTCTTTTAATTGCTTTTAAACCTTAACACGGATTGGCGCCAACGTATCTGTCAAATCTTACACAACCCATCGAGATCGCTCCGATCATCTGATCAGAAGCTGTTGACTGTTCCTAGGGCAAGACTAAAAATGAGAGGGGATCAGGCTTTTTCCGGGATTGCCCCTAAATTGCCACTAAAAAAAACTGAGTAGCACACACTAATACACAGCTAGAAGGACCCTGATCTCTTTCTTACCTCCCATTGGGCTCTGACTGACTGAGAGAGGAGGTCCATGTCTCTGAGCTGGGCATCGGAGCAGAAATCACCCATTCCCTTCACAGCTTCTAGAAATGCCTCTAACACTGAAGGCCTGAGAAGACGTGACACTGCCTATAAAACAAAAAGAAATCAGCAGTCATTAACAGCTTCTGTGCATGTGTTTTGACCAACCATATGTTTTTTAAACCATTATTTGATTAAATAATTATTGGATTGAAAACATTTTGAAATGGCCTTACTTGTTTTTTCTTGGCTTGTTTTTTAGATCGGTCTCTGGTGCTGATCACTGTGATGACATCCTGTATGTGTTCATGCAGGTGCTGTTTTGCTTTATCCAGTCTGCTCCTGGCCAAAGCCTGAGCTCTGGCATACACCTCATTCTGTACTGGGACATGGGGAACACCTGGAGCCTCTGATGGCTGTGGAAAGCTGTGACTTTTGGATAGAACCCTTTGTCTTTGGTGTTGGGTTGTCACAGAGGTCTGAGGTTGCCTTTTCGGTGGTGAACCAAGGTTCTGTTCGATAGGCGTTCTTTGTTGACTCACTGTTACCAGTGTATGCAAAGTGCTTGGGCTGGATGCAAGTGAGGTAACAGGCAGAGTTTGTGATGGCTCATGAGGTTTTGGAAAACTGTGACTTTTGGCCAGAACCTTTTGTCTTTGGTGTGGGGTCACCAAGGAGGTTTGTGGTTGCCAATTTGGTGGTGAATCAAGATGCTGCTCGCTTGGCATTCTTAGTTGAGTCATGGTAACCGATGTAAGCAACATGCTTGTGCTAGACGCAGTTGAAGAGAAAGACTGTAGAGGGTTTGAATGTTCAATGCCACTGCTCTGGCTTGAGTCTACAGAGATAACCTGAAGCTCTGATGGTCCAAAGCCCCTGGTTTCGCCTGAGTCTACAGATATAACTTGGAGAGAGTCTAATGGTGTAAAACCGCTTGAGTTGGCAGAAAGAACCTGTTGCTCTGATGGTCCAAAGTCACTGGATTGGTTTGGGTCTACAGAGATAACCTGTAAATGTCCAAAGCCACTGTTTTGCCTTGAATTTACTGAGGCAGCTTGAAGGTCTGATAGTCCAAAGCGATTGGTTAGGTTGGAGTCTACAGAGATCAGTTGAACGTCAGTTTGGGGTTTCAACTGAGCCTTCCTGCTAACAACAGATGACAGCAAAGGCTGTTTGAGCTCTGCATGCTGTACTTGGCATATAGTTTTGCTTTGGGCTTTTGGAGATTTTTCATGAACCTGGGGGAGAAACTGGGGCTGTATGCCACTGGTGGTTTCCAATAGTGACTGCAGCTGAGAAGAATGGAGTTCTTGGTTTTGAGGTTCTGCTGGGATCTCTAGAGAAAGTTTGCTGCTTTGGAAGAACGTCTGATCCTGATGGTGTTGAATGACTCTAGTTTGGGATTCAGGCTGAGAATGGGCCTGCACAAAAACCTCGGAAGCAGGCTGTGCACCTACAGGCTGTCCTTCACGCTTCACTCCATGAGAACTGAGCATCTCAATAACCTCCTGACGGACATACAGAAGGGTGTGAGAAGTTACATCATCATGATTTTAAGCATTGCTTAACCGATACTGGCCTGCAATGAAATTCACCTGACAGTGTGAGACCGTCTGTTTCAGTCGGTCTTGTATTGCCGATGTGCTGAGGTAAGGAAGGGAGGAGTTATTTTGCACAGATGTCACAAGCACCTGCAGGTCCTCACCTTCTGTCACAACCTGTCCTTCCAACTGTAGACCTCTGGTGATCAGTGCCTGCAATGGGAATCGAAAGAGACAACAATGTGAAAGCGCTGTTTTAATCAACCAAATGAACTCAATAACTTAGTTAATTGTACTCACTTTAGCCCTGGAATGTGGCCCCCAGTGGTCCCTATGCTGCCTATCTTTTAGGTGGTGGCAGACCTCTTGGGCTTCCGTGCTCCAGGTTTCAAGCTCAGCCAGCCTGCCCTCGAGCAGAGATGCGGCTTTCTGGAGTCTCTCGCACATCTGATCCACCCGGGTCAAAATCTCAAGTGTCTGCCAAGAAACATGTCCACAGATTTGTTCAGTTCATAGTTAAATCAATTACTCTCATTAGAGACACAGTGTTTAGAGAGTTGGTAGACTCTCCAACATAGGAGGCAGTACTGCACCTTAAATCTGTTTGCCTCCTGTCATAAAATGCAAACAAAAGATGTTGGCACATTATGTAGCTACTACCGCACACAAAATCTTGTAGATGAAAAATGAAAGAGACAGTCTACCAGAATAAAGATTCCCAGTGTAAGAGTTTTTTGGATTCTGTAAAAAAGTTGGGTGGGTGTAAGACCCCAATTCTGCAAGAAGTGATGATCAACAGTTGTTTTTGCACACTTTTGTAAAGTTATTGTTACAAATACTATCTCTGTCTCCCAATACACCTTTTTCGTGAAAGTACAAAATAAATTTGAAAGATAAATTTGACTGATAGCATTAATTTTGGCAGAATTAAATTGTCACATTATCCATAAAATGTCAGTAGACTTTGCAATAATATTGTTATTGTGAATTCTTTTAGCCATAATTCAGTAAAATACTTAATTTAAGTAAAAATATGATTGTGACAGCCCTATTTAAAATAAATGGATATATACAAATACAAACAAATCAGTTTGATGAACCAGTTCACTGGAAAGAACGGACTCAAAAGACTGATTTGTTTACTCACAAACTCAATGACTCATGGAGATTCTTCACAATTGTATTTGTGTGTTCCACAGGATAACTGAGAGCAAGTAAATAATGAAAAAAAAAATTGTTTCATTTTTGGGTGAGCTGTCTCTCGCATCTACACGTTTAACCTAAATATTGCCTGACCTCCGGAATAGTTTGTCTGAATTTCTGAAGAGTTTCCTCTTTGTAGTCTGGAGATGGAGACAAAGAGTTCAGATTGAACTCAGACATCTTCTTAGTTATGCCCTGAGTAAAAAAAAGAAAAGAATAGACAAGCATAAACAACCTTGACAAGAGAGTGGAGAAGAAAATGATTCTCAGAAACAGCTAAGACAAATTAAAAAAATAAAAATTAAGAAAGGCATATAAAACAATGAAGAAACATCTAATATAACAATACAAACAGTATGAAGTACTCCAGCTAGGACAGAAAGATCAGTATACCTGGAGTTTCTTTCTGTAAATACGTAGAGGTCCAGATAACACCTCAACTGTCTCTCTAAGCACCCAGCTGGCTTCCCTCATCAGGGAAGCTTGGACACCTGGGACTGCAGAGATGGGCTGAGGGGCCACTGCCTGAAAACATGCCATTTACAACAGAATAAGCACATTATTGTTAAACAGTAACCATCAATCACAATCTTTTCAAGGGTGTAGAATGTTAAAAGACAAAGAACAAGAGCAATCACATGCTTTGATGAACAGTAAGCACAGATGATGAAACCGAATGCTTCTGTGGTTTTGAAACACAATGGGCTGAAGCACCAGCTTATCAGTGTATCACTCAAAGAAAGTGAAAAATCGAAATCGAAAAAGGCTGGGTCTGGGCAGTTTAAAGGCAAAACTCTTTATTCAATCCAGCAGAACAAGTTGAAATTGACAAATAACCAGGATCCAAAATAAACTCTTTGCCACACCTACTTGCGTGACTTGAATTGAGCAAATGCACCAGCCATAAATATTTCTTACCAGCTATGAAACTTTATTTTGCATTATTTCTATCTTCAACAATGTGATATATTTAGCTTTTTCCTTGAATATTTTGTGAGAAACATCTGACTCACGTTTTCTGTTGCCAGTACAAAAATATTTTGTCCTCATACTCAAATGATATACTGCAATTGGTGGTGTAATGTGAAAAATATTAAAGTGCGGGGGACGAATTTACTTTTTATAAAAAGTGGGGGGGACATGTCCCCCGCGTCCCCCGCGTAATCTACGCCCCTGCACGCTATGAATTCTGGGATAGGGTAGGCTGCGAAGGATCCATCGGATGTGTTTTTTTTTTTTTTTTTTTTTGAATCACTCAGATTAAAATTCAAACGTATAGTAATAAGGTGCAGCTTCTTTTAAAGTTACTAGAAATTGCTTTATTTCTTCAAAAAAGACAAATCTTACTTGCAATTTGGCATTTGGTAAGTGTTAATTTTGGACACTGCTGAAAACTAGTGTTCTATCGCTACAAACTCACAAACTTTGTCCATTTTATGAAGTCAGCCCACTGCATGTTCAGTTTGCGGAGCTCCTCAGTCAGTTGACTCACGTTTTCTGTTGCCAGTACAAAAATATTTTGTCCTCATACTCAAATGATATACTGCAATTGGTGGTGTAATGTGAAAAATATTATGCGTGACATTACATGTGTCAGTTTTATAACAGGCATCCTAGATAGATGGATAGAACAATTTCCACTGAAAATGTTTACCAAAATTCAAATTATGAGAGATATTGCTTGTGGTTTTCTCTCTCTTTTTTTTTTTTTTTGAATCACTCAGATTAAAATTCAAACGTATAGTAATAAGGTGCAGCTTCTTTTAAAGTTACTAGAAATTGCTTTATATCTTCAAAAAAGGACAAATCTTACTTGCAATTTGGCATTTGGTAAGTGTTCATTTTGGACCCTGCTGAAAACTAGTGTTCTATCTCTACAAACTCACAAACTTTGTCCTTTTTATAAAGTCAGCCCACTGCATGTTCAATTTGCGGAGCTCTTCAGTCAGAGAGTGGCTGGTGGAGGCGTCACTCATCTCAATGAGAAAGTTTCCCACCTCATTCAGCTGGGCTTGACGTGATCTCCACTCATTCAGACTGGAGGAAAAATGCTTGTGCTGTATTATGAAAGAGATCACAAGACAATTGACAAATGAACCTCTGAAAAAAGCAATCACATACAGTACAAACATCATGCCCTCACCTCATGACTTGAACTTACCAAACATCTCAACAAAGATAACTAAATGACATTTATACTTTTCAAGTGCATCTTAGGTGGTCAAACACTTTTTGGGTCACTGTATACTTTGTATTGTGTGTTTTAATGACAAATGTTGTATAGTACCTCTTGAGCCTCTGATTTTTTCTCCTGCCCCAGCCAGACCTGTAATAGATACAGGCAGTCTTTGTAGGACTCCCATGCAGCCAGAACACGATCCATGGTGGATCTTACTGCTTCTGCAGCTTCTGTACTGACTCCCGTCTCACTATCTGCCTCTTTTACCGACCTGTTAATCACAGGCGAGTCGTCTGCTGGAAAAGAAACAAAGGAGAGAAGGTAAATCAGGTAAAAGTTACAGGAAAAAGCACTAACTTTCATAAAAACCAAAGTATAACAGAACTGCCAACAATATAGACTTACCCAGAGCTGCTTTGTTGGTATAGCTGACTGCTGTGTCCTTCAGCTTATTAAGTGCTTCCTTCAACATCCACACCAGACCTTGCTTGTCAACACTGCCCTAAATGGCAAATAAGCATAGTTTACAATTCATTTAAGCGTTTATGTTTTTAGGTTGTCAGAGACATTAAACTACTCAACAGTCCAGTTTTATAGACTTGTTGTGTTTATACTTATGCTCTTGCAAACTATTCTAACACAAACTTTCCATTTTGTATATTTTAAATTCATTATATAACAAAGAGTGAAAAATTTAAGGGGGTCTGAATACTTTCCGTACCCACTGTATATTACTTAAACTGGACTAACAGGAAAAAATATTAGTATGTGACCTGCCAGTATTTTTACTGATCCCGTCGCATTTTATTTTTCGTACATTTTTTATGTCAGAAAGAAAAATATGTATTTAAGAATATACTGTATATGAAATATATAAAAATATTGATTTTTAATTACATGTTACAAAATTTTAAATTTGAATCTTTAATTGAACTGAATTTACATGTATGTTTATGCATTTAGCAGATGCTTTTATCTGAAATGACTTACAATGGAGCAACATAAGCATTATTTAACACAATAACAGTATAAACATAACTGATACCCTACTTCAGAGCAAAAAATATTCATAGTACACAATGCCAAGTTTATTAGAAACCTAGACTACTGTATGTTATGTTTATTTAATTTATTTAGAGTTTTAATTTATTAAAAAATATATTTTAATGTCTAGATGAATTATTTGTTTAGATTGTTATGTTTTTTTATATTTATGTTTTTTATAGCAAATAATACTTGGATGTTTTACTGCTATAAGGTTGTTTCTGGGTTTATTATGTTTTAACAAATAATAACATTCAGAAATTATTCTGATATAAAGTTTTTCTATAACAGCTTTAACTTTATGAACACCTTTGATATAAAAAAACGATACTGGTGTGATTTGTTTGGAATTTCCAGTCCATTCTCAAGACTATCAGAACTGCCTAATTTCAATCTGTATTTGGTGACATATTTAATAAGCAGAATTCACCCTCTCCTCCATGGTGTCCCATGCTTTTCTCAGTGCCATCTGCTCCTCACTTGGTTTAGCGCAGCGTCTCATTGCACTGAGAAGTGGAATAACTGGACGTCGTTGGTCATAATAAGTCCCCACAAAGTTCTGAAATGCCTTGGATAAAAACAGACACACATTCAGGGTTTGTCATAAGATGCATGTTACAAATTAGGAAGGGATAATTTACCATTTCACATTTAGCATACCTGATACCTCTCTGTATATCCCTTCCCCTCTGTGGAATTCCACGCCTCCAGTAACTCCTGATAGGCTCGCTCTAGCCAGCATTTCATCTCTCTGGCTTTCTGACTGGGTGAAGCCTAAGGGCAGGGCAGGAAACACAGAACCGAATTCGAGATTGATTGTAAAATCAGAAAGCATGTTGAAACAAGTAGAAGCTGATGCTGGAATTATATTTTGACAAGAGGAAAACTGTGGAGGAATTCACAAGTGCTCTGTGACGTCTGTACCTGGTGGATTGGTGAGGCCAGCACAGCAGGAGTAAAGTATGTAGGGAGGTTGACAGGAGAAAGGCATGTGGGAAAGAGCAGAGTTTGAAGCTGCATCCAACCAGGAGGGAGCAACAGACAGTAGGAGAAAGCAAAGTTGAAGGGCCATATGTGGGAAAGGGGGTTAGAAAGAGAAAAAAGGTAAGAATGAAAAAAAGGCAGACAAACAAAAGCAGAGATCTAGATGGGAGATTCAGTTGGAGATGGTCTTACCTCAAAATCGTCATCAGCTACAGGCAGATCATTGGAGTACTGCAGGAACTGAGCAATGTATGTCATGATAGACTTCTCATCAGGGTTACTGACATCAATGTCTGAGAGGAAAGAGAATTTAAATGTACATAAACCTTCAATAACCTTAAAAAACACATTGTATTGTACACTACACTCAATACATTATCCCTTTGCAAAGGAACTCATTACTGAAATATAAAGGCTCTTGCATATTTTCATGTATAAAGACTTGCTTATATTGTAGGAAAAATATAAAAAAGTATTATATAGATATATTTAAATGGCCTTAAATGGTCTCATTATAATTAGTAATTTATTGTATCATATTATTATTATATAATAAATATTATCCTTTATTTAGTATTTGTATTGATTATTCGTCTATTTTCAACCCACAAATAGATTTATATTATCAACATTTTCACAAGAATCTTTGTAGGCCCCATGACTTTGCCAGTTGTTCATCAGTTATTTTAAATTCTAATAATATTTCAAAATATTACTGTTTATACTGTATTCCTTAACAAATAATGCAGTCTTTGGGAACATAAAAATACTTATTTCAAAAACATAAATATAAATCAATCAAATCAAACAATCAATCTGACCCCAAACTTTTGAACAGTAATAATGGCATACATTTTAGCATAAGACTTATATGACTAAACAGAACCACTGAACTCATTCATCCCATGTTCTCTGACATAAAAGAATCTTCTGTAATACTATATGCTTCCTGTGTGCATTGTTATTTTGATATTCTATTCTCTTCTGGAAGAAATAAGAGAGTCTCACATCTCAAAAAGTACAGGCCCACTCTGAGCTAAAATGCTAAAGGTCTTGAAGTAAACAATGACAAACAAACAAACAAAAAAAAAACAGCTCAAGGCAAAGAAAGATGCAAGTATACTGTATATGATATGCTAGTTTTTGTAAAAACACATTGGGCCAGTTGCATAAAAGGGTAAGCCTAGTCTTAAAAGTTAGTCAGCAAATGTTTTTCTTACATTTTTTCGCTCTAATTTTTTTAAATTCAGTTACATAAAAATGTAGATTAGTGTAAATTGAATAAAAAAAAATAAGAATGATTACCCCTTGGCAAACTGCTAGTTGGTCAGACTAGTTCTTAAGACAACATAGAGGCCAAGTTTATGCAACTGGCCCATGGTGTCTTCACTGTTATACTCACATGACAGTGCAGAATGATGGTCCATATCAGGCCCAGAATGATGGAAGGTTTCCCCTCTATGATGTTTGGGATGTTTATGTTCACCAGCTTGATCTGAGAGAACGTAAACAGTTGTTTATGTCATTTGTATATAAATCTTAATATCCTAACAAAGTGTTTCCCAACCTTTTTTTAGTCGCGGCACCCTTTGGAAATTTTAACAAACTTGTGGCACCCGACAAAATAAATTTTGTCACAATATTTGAATTTCTAACTTCGATATGATAATTTGTAAAGTATAGATATTCGGTACAACAGGGAAGAACTGCAGAATATAATGTCATACAGATATTTTTTATATTATTAAAAAAATGTGTCCATCAATGGTGGCAATCAGTAGGCTAATTTCTAATGAAGAGACCAATTTATACGACAGATTTCAATGTAGTCAAGTCAAGTCAAGTCACCTTTATTTATATAGCGCTTTTAACAATACAGATTGTGTCAAAGCAACTGAAAAGCATTAATTAGGAAAATAGTGTCAATAATGCAAAGTGACAATAGTAAACACTCATTTTTCAGTTAAAGACTTATCAGAACACGTGAGCATAACATAGCGGTTAGCAGATCAATGAATGAGAGGGCAGCGTTACCCATATACCACACCATGTTACAACACAGTAGGGCTATTGCAGACAGAAACAATACTGTACTACATTGATGTTTCCTATCCGCTCAATTTTTTAGCGGACTTTGCTGTTCCGATTCACATGAATGGTATACGAGTGGAGCGACTGAGTGGAGCACACATGCATAGAGCGGGATAATACGCAGTCACACCACATGAAAGTGAAACCTGAGCGGTGAACTAATTTTCGGCAGCCGAAATTTCGGGGCATCTCTCATTATTGGCGACATCAGAAATGGATATTATATAATAGATGCTTTTTTGAACATTTTAGCAATTTAAAAATATTAAAAAAAAGTTTTTTATTTTTTACACGGCACCCCTGCTCTCGACAGATGGCACCCTGGTTGGGAAACACCGTCCTAACAGATGGAAAATCATCATCAGTCTTATGAGAATACCAAAAACTCTCTTACTGATTTATTCTTCAAGAAGTTCAAAGCGGTCTCGACGTTGCCTCTCTGCTGAAACACACCATGACCCCGCTCACGCTTCTACAGAGAAACAAACAAACTCAGTAGTAAGCAGAATTTTTAAACATTTCAAGGATTCAGTATAAACAAGTACTTTCTTGGTTGAATCTCTGTGAATCTCAGTGGTACGACGGTGATATTCAGCACTCACCATGCGCTGGCCACTCATCACCTCCAGTAGGTCAAGCAGTCGAGTCCCATCTCGAAGATCTGAGAACAGATCCTGGACAACAGTTGGATGGCTCCTCTGAAACACACATCAGTATTCTATCTGAACGTGTTAAAGGTGTTCACAGGTCAATACACTGAGCATTCCTGATGTCAAGCTGTGCTGGCAGAAGTACAAATAAACAGTGAAATAAACAAAGCATGGATTAAAACAAAACAAAAAAGCAGAAAAATGTTGAACAATATATTTGAATATATTATTCATTTATGAATTATTATTAACTTATTATTATTATATTAACCCTAAAGCCTACTGTATCATTTGATCGAAAATTGTTAAGGCCTCTAAATGATCAACATGATCAAAATTTTGTTTATAAGAAGTTTAAAAGTTCATCATTCTTTTGTTATAAAAATATCAGCAGTTGCACTAAATTGCATATTTTTGCTCAGTTTGGGCCTCTGAATAAAATTGTGGAGTTTCTTTTCCCTCTGAGTCGGAGTATAAGCTCCATATATAAAGGCATTTTTCACCCAAAAATGTTGATTTTGTCATCATTTGCTCACCCTCATGTCGTTCCAAACATCTAGGAGTTTCTTTCTTATGTTGAACACATAGATATTTTGAAGCATTTTGAAGAACCAAACAGTTGTTGGTCCCCATTGACTTTCATAGGTAGGGAAAGAAGTACTATGGAAGTCAATGGGGGACCATCAACTGTTTGATTACCTGCATTCTTCAAAATATCTTCTTTTATGTTCAACATAAGAAAGAAACTCACACAGGTTTGGAACGACATGAGGGTGAGTAAATGACGACAAGATTTTCATTTTTGGGTCAACTATTCCTTTAAAGGCCATAAAGCCTGATTTATCATATATGATACTCAACAAAAAGCACATACAGATACACAAACCTTTATAATATTTTGTCTAAAGGTAAGACTATCTGTTCCATTAAAAATTCAATTCAATTCAATTTATTTGATGTATCTTTTATTTAAATACATTTTAATTGCAAATGGTGGATATTTAAATCATAATTCATTCAGTATGACTGCTCTTTTTATATAATATTTCATTTTTATTTATAAATGCAAATGGACTGACAACAGTGGTGATGCACAAAGTACCTTTGGAATATTTATTACAATCTTCTTTTGGAGTAGACTGATGTGAGTCTCCCAAAATAAAAGTAGTTTGGAAATGAGTGTTGATATTTTGTGATTTTTACATGCATAAAAGGGTTCAATTTGATGTAAAATGATGCAACACTCTAGCTATACAGAGAGATCACTGGAGCTCTACACAGGTTGTCACTTGCAGGAGGTTTAAGAGCGCTTGCGTTTAAAGCGCGGCCAAGTGTTGGTGGACGAGCTAAAAAATAATTTTGAAGGTACTGTAAGTTAGTTTGAGGGAGAAAGGGCTCATGAACAGATAAACAACATCAGCATAAAGTACCAATTTTGAAGAAGGAAAGCAAAGGAGGAAGTGTCCTGGGAGATCTAATCATATCCAAACCCACACACAGCACCAATAAAGTCTCATAAATGAATACAGAACAGTAAGTTACTAAGTGAATCAAGACGAAAGTACAATTCAAAGGGAAGTGCATAATAAATGCACATATGAACACAGACACACAGGCAGTCTGAGGGCTTATGACTTGATATAATCATTATCATTACTGATATGCTACACTGACTACTGTATATTCAGGAGTGGTTATAAGCTTAATACACTCAAATGGAATTTTAATTGTGACCTTTACTGTTTGACTAATAACAATATGATGATAATAATTGATATTGTTGTTAATATTATATATGACATTATATTTAGAATTTTTGTTGTTTACTATAATAACAATTTAAAAAGTAAACAATGATTATTACCATTGCTGTTGTTATTGACAGTAAGTATTATGAACATATGATATTAAATGTAATATACATTACATTTATATTAACAATTTATTGTTCACAACAATAATAAAATGAAAAAATATTTAGTAATATTAACTATTATTATTGACCATAAGAAAATTATATATATTACATTTATATTTATCATCTATTATGTTGTTCTCAAAAATGACAAAAATAATAAAATGTTTTAAAAAAATAAAATGTTACGTCAAGTACTTTTATATAACACGTTTTGGTTGTCAAATAAACAAAATGTATGCAAACACCATATTAAAAAATTAAAGCTGCCTTACCTGTATTGTTTCCTGTTAAATGCACGTTTTGTAACGCTGTTCTGTTTTTTAGAGACCAACCAGGAAGACTCACTTTATTTTTTTTTTAAGGAAGAGAAATATCTTCTGAAAAGCTTGTTAATAGGTCTCAAAAAAAGCTGTTCTTGCACATATTACATGCTGATATCAAGACAAATGCAAGCTCATATGAACTCTGAATGAGTTACTTGAAAGTATAACAGGTAGTGGAACCGTCAAGGACTCTTCTGAACACTCGATCTTGTTATTAAACGTGAAAATTACTAAATGGGCATTAGAGGGCACTGCTTGAATCACTGCTGATTCTTCCAGAACACAGTCACACTCATTCAGCACATGCACGCACACACACACACACACACACCTGTTGTTTCTGGGTGAGATTCAGACCCACCATCTAAAACAGTCAGAGATGTGGAAACAGCAGCCTCACTTGCTGCTGCCAATACTGACATCAAAAGGGCAAATACAGCACTGGGAATATGCAGACATTGTTACCAGCTGTCCATGTACTTTTTTCCACATACGTGCACAGATTGACTGACAGAGGAGTAAGAGAAAGGGCAAGATAAATGAAGAGACCAGAGTGGAATCTGATGCTATTAATAGGATAGATTGATGACATGCAAAAAGCATTCTGTGTCAGCTAATACTTGCACTATGCATTGTGCATATGCGTAAACTTCATCTTCATTTACCATAATTCCCTTAAATAAGCATTTGAGACTAAGACTGCACCTGTATTGTTTCTATAATCCAAACCACATACCTGGTAACTGACACTAACATTAAACAAAGCACAAGTGAATCTGGGGAGCTGCACTTAAAGAAATTAAATAGTTTCAACCCAAATTAAAGGAAATAACAAAGAAATTGCACACACACAAACACACATTCACGTATGTGCATAATAATTAGTGTATTCACGTAGGTACATAATTAGTGTATATATGTATAAACAAATTACATAAACATACATAATATATTGCATATTGAGATTTAGTATTTGCAGGATTGCCTTTAGTTTGGTTTTAATATCATTTTAATGAAATTTAAAAATAATGAGTTAAATTAAATTAAATGCATTGGTCCAAAAACAGCCTTCATTCTTCATGGACATATAATTTCTTGTTTTTGTTTGTTTGACTTTAGATTTTTGGGTGAAAAATCACCTAGAAAGATTTAGTATTTGCAGGATTGCCTTTAGTTTGGTTTTAATATCATTTTAATGAAATTTAAAAATAATGAAATGAAATGTTAAATTAAATTAAATGCATTGGTCCAAAAACAGCCTTCATTCTTCATGGACATATAATTTCTTGTTTTTGTTTGTTTGACTTTAGATTTTTGGGTGAAAAATCACCTAGAACTGTTTTCGACAGGCTTTCACCAAATAGAAGTACTTAAGTTCAGTCAAACAAAGTCTATGATGTTAATTCCATAAATTACATTACAGCATAGCTGTATTTGGGGTCTCATAAATGCAACTCATAATGCCCAGTGTCATGAAATGACATACACGTCCTTATTCTCACTGCTCCACTTCAAGTGAAACGGTATCAGATGACACTGCCTGTGGTGTTATTATTATTGCAAGGACACGGTTTGCATTGCATGTGACACTCATTCAAAGGTGGCTTCAGTTTCACAAAACTAAACAAACACATTTTAGGGTCATCATGCAAAAACAAATCCATATTTCAAGTTAAGCTTAACTTGCTATACACAGTCTTTTGCACCCTCCAAACACATCTATTACATAACAATAATGACTGAGCCCCAAATCATCAAGCGAATTAGTGGAACAGCAAGACCAGACAAAGCCTCATTCAGAAAAGGCTTGTTAGCTGCGGTGTGATACAGGCATGGGTGGGGATGCCATTGATATTCAGTTAGAAAGAATCATATTACTTAAACATAAGGGCAGTGCTGTTTAACTCATGCCCCAGCAAAAATAAGAAGACACAGGACATGGGGTGGGTGACCAAACCTGGTGTGTTTGGTACAATCTGTTGAGCTGATCACTTGCACAGGAGAAATTAGGAAAACAAACTCATTAACTTCGATTAGCTAAATGTAACTTTTCTTGTTTAAATGACCAAACACTCAAATAGGCCACTGTTAGAACTAAACTGCGTTGCAAAAAAAAAAAAAATCAGTGTGAAATAAATGAACATGAGCAGAAAGGCACATAAAAGTTAAAAGCTGGAAAGCATTATTAGTCCAGAAACTGATGACAAAGTATGCTTTAATTACTTTCGATTAACTTTTTACGTTTTAATAACCTTCTCTCTCATGCAAAATACAAGTCAGCTCTCTCGCACTACAGCCACCGAGTGTAAATGGTCTAACTAGCTTTCATCAAATAATCCTTCTTTAAAAACAACTAACTATGAGACGTGCAAAGTTAATGAACTGATGCTGTGGTTAACTTTAATGCATGCGACGTGCTTGACAGAAAGATGTTGTTTGGTATTGTCATGGCTTGCAGTTCAACCACTCATTTAATACAGAAAGTTCTACAAACTCACAATGAATGAACGCGGTTTGCTGTCTCAGGCTGCTGACAATTCCTCTCAATTATTTCCCAAAACTGCACCTTTGAAAGCATTGGAAGTGGAAACGAGCACTGCGCGCGGCAATGGTTTGTTTGAAGCGTTTTAACTCCGCCTTCAATCCGCGTGAGCTTGAAGTAGAACACACATTTCTGAGCTCCGACGTTCGAATTATTTTAAAGAATCAGTTCGCTCGAACGATTAATCGTTTGAACCATCACTAATGAGTGTGTGACATTTTGTGTGTTCTGTTCTTTAAATGTTAGCACTGCCGTTTTGTGTGTGGTGTTGTTGTTTGTTCATAATTTCATGTCACAATTTAAGTGCGAAATGGTTATAATGAATCATTTATAAGGAGCCGGTTCAAGAGAGCCATTCATTCGAGACATTGAGGGATGTGATGGCCTTTTTATTATTTGTGCATCTGAGAACTGACAACAGGCGGCAGTTTTCATTAATCATCACTGATTAAATGCAGTGCCAGCCTTGTTAAACCACTGTGTGTGCCTCCGCTGTCTAAAGGTGCGTTCACGCCATATCCAAAATTCCCGTAATTACGAGATTCCAGCTTGTAAAAAGCGTTCACCTCCTCGTACAACTGGGAGTTTTCTGAGAGCTACGACTTGTACCACGTGAGCCTCGCAGGCTCTGTGTAGGCGTTGATAGTGTTGCCATAGAAAAGCATAATTCTATGGCAAATAAAAAATAGACCGTCACGTGCTGTCATCTCGGAATTACGATATGGCGTGAATGCAGCATGCTCTTCATAGGTTTTAAAAAGCTGTTGACTGTTTGCTGGCGTGCCTGCGTGTGTATGTATGTATGGGAGTGGACTGGAGAAAGCGAGGAGAAGAGGCACAGAAACTGCACTTGTTAAAATTACAAATGACTTGCGTTCGACACTATAGATCATGACATAGCATAGATCGATTACAAAACTATACAGGTATTCAAGGGCAGGCTTTAAGATGGTTTAGATCCTACCTGTCCGATCGCTACCACATTGTTCATTTAAATGGGGAGTCATCTTAATTATCACCAGTAAAATATGGAGTGCCGCAAGGATCTGTCCTAGGTCCTCTGCTATTTTCTATATACATGTTGCCCCTTGGTAATATTATTAGAAAATAGGGGATTAGTTTTCACTGTTATGCTGATGATACTCAACTATATATCTCAACAAGACTAGATGAAACTTCTAAATTATCTAAGCTAACATAGTGTGCTAAAAATGTAAAAGATTGGATGACCAATAAGTTTCTCTTATTAAATTCGGATAAGACAGAGATATTACTTATTGGACCAAAAGACAGTACACAGAATCTCTTGGATTACAATTTGCAACTAGACGGATGTACGGTTACTTCCTCTACAGTCAAAAATCTGGGTGTTATATTAGATAGCGACTTGTCTTTTTAAAATCATATTTCCCATGTTACAAAAACAGCATTCTTCCATCTTAGAAACATTGCCAAGTTCCGAAACATGTTACCTGTTTCTGATGCAGAAAAGCTAGTTCATGCATTCATGACCTCTAGACTGGACTATTGTAATGCACTGCTAGGTGGTTGTCCTGCATCTTCAATAAACAAGCTACAGGTAATAGAAAATGCAGCGGCTAGAGTTCTTACTAGGTCAAGAAAATATGAAATCAATTTTGCTTGGTTGGAACAGCAGCTACGCTAATTATGTCTCTATTTGTTTCTCTGTTTTTGCCACAAGCTTCAGTCTGGATCCAGAATACCTGAGAAGAGATGATGCCAACCCTGAAACAACATACAGAACTACCAAATTTTGCTATAAGTTTGATTGCATCATGTAATAATTGCTGTTAATAGTGTTCATCGTCTGTTTGATTACGTCTTTAATTGATTTTTCCGTACATTTCTGCCATATGTACATTAACTGACAGTCACCACTGATAAGCTACTACTAAATATTGTAGAAACTTAATTTGCTGTAAAGTTGCTTTGCAACGATTTGTATCGTGAAAAGCGCTATACAAATAAACTTGAATTGAATTGAATATATTTCATTATATAAAATAATTTTCACCAAATATCCTGTGATTGATCTGTTGTGTTATTAAAGTGATGTGATGTTAATGCAGTGTGTTTATTGTATAACCATTCCAAACTAATGTAATCAGGTTGCTTTGCCAGTATAATTTTTGAATAGGGGTGTGTGTGTGTGTGTGTTGCAGTCTCCAGTGAGCTCGGTCGGTTGCAACGGTTTCAGTCTTATCCCATGATAATTCAATGGCGTGTAGATCTTTAATGATTGTACGGCACCAATGTTTGTCTCTGGCATTCTTGCTTCTGCTTCCCTTGGAGTGGCGCCCACAACATGTGCCCATCTTTGGTAATCGTTCTGGGATAGCCGAAGAATATGGCCCACTTAATGAAACTGGCGTTTAGTTCAGTTCATTCCAGATCGACCATAGTTGCCGCATAATTGCCATGGCCTTCCCAAATTGACTCACAATGACTATACAGAGGATCTTACTCTTGGACGCATTAATCCGGAGTCCAGATTTTTTCTCTTCTCTTTCCAGTGCAGCCGTTAGCTCGCAGAGTGATCATTGGGTAGATCCAAGCAATGCAATATCATCTGCAAAATCTAAATCTGCAAATCGTCCAGCTCTTCACCGTAGGCCGTGGTCACTGTGGGCAAGTGTGCATCGCATGGCAAAATCCATAACATGGAGAAAGAGGAATGGCGTGTATGTGTATGAGCTCAAGTTCTTCTTGCAGTTGATTGTAGAATGCATCCTTCACTATGTGTTCTGCATCTTCCGTTGGGGCTTAAAGTTGGACCTGGGGTTGCAAAAAGATGGAAAATTTCCAGTAAATTTCAGAAACATTCCAGAAATTTCCAGGAGTTTTTGGAATCTTCCAGGGATTTTTGGAAAGTTTCCTGGAAATTTACCAGAAACTTTACACCTCTTTGCAACCCTAGTTGGACCACACAGAGATCTTGATGTGTTGGGTTTGGAAGCGGGCAGATTCTGTCCGATATTTCAGCCATTGCTACCATAGACACCATTGCTGCTCTGACTGGATACAGTCAGATACAAATCTGACACCACATGCATGGTCAACTCCATGCCCAGAGTAAACAATGGTCTTATCATCACTAACGATTTGGCATCTCCGATATCAAGCCGGTAGTCATTCTACCGGTCATTCAACATTCAAAGGGTTCTAACATTCCATGTTTCTATTCGAGTAATCAATTTCACGCTGAAAGAGACCATACATCAGAGGTTGGACGCCTGCAGGGTTTTGATCCAACATCATCATCATCACATTAACTCAGACTTTCTCGTCACGACCAAAGATAATTGAGGTCTGCTTGACATTTCAGTAGCAAGAACGGTGTTTTTTTACAGGGTGAGGTTGCTAGCCCCACGCCCAACCCTCCTCCTTTATCCGGGCTTGGGACCGGCACTGTCAGGGTTTACTCTTCCAGTGGCGGAGTTACCATTAATATATATTTATTATTAGAAATATATATTATTTATATATAAATACATAAATATAATTAAATACAATATTTTAACACCCCTAAGCCTGAATTATAGTCTCAGAAGAGGGATGTTACAATAAATATTTTAAATAGAAAAGTATAAAACTATATACAATATACAATATTTTAACACCCCTAAGCCTGAATTATAGTCTCAGAAGAGGGATGTTACAATAAATATTTTAAATAGAAAAGAATAAAACTATTTAAAATATATACAATATTTTAACATCCCTAAGCCTGTAATAAGGCCTACGTGAAGGGATGGTATAATGAATATTTTAAATATAAAAAGTATAAAACTATTTACAGTATATACAATATTTTAACACCCCTAAGCCTGTAATAAAGCCTAAGTGAAAGGATGTTATAATAAATATTTTAAATTTAAAAAGTATACAACTATTTACAATATATTCAATATACATTATTTTTGTTAAAACAATATTTTAAGATCCCTAACATATTTTAACATTTTTTTAAATAAATATTTAAAAAATAAAATGCAAAAAAATAATGTACAATATATACAATGTTATAATGTTTTAAATATAAAAAAAGTATAAAACTATTTACAATATACAATATTTGTAATAAATACTTTAAATATAAAAAGTAAAAAACTATTTACAGTATATACAATATTTTAACATCCCTAAGCCTGTAATAAGGCCTACGTGGTGGGATGTTATGATAAATATTTTAAATATAAAAAGTAAAAATCTATTTACAGTATATATAATACACAATATTTTAACATCCCTAAGCCTGTAATAAGGCCTACGTGGTGGGATGTTATGATAAATATTTTAAATATAAAAAGTAAAAATCTATTTACAGTATATATAATACACAATATTTTAACATCCCTAAGCCTGTAATAAGGCCTACTTGAAGGGAATAAATATTTTAAATATAAAAAGTATAAAACTACTTAAAAAATATACATGCATCTCTAAATACATGATTTTGCTAGTAATAAGGCCTAAGCCAAGGCATGGAAAGGCCACTCATGTCATCCTGCCAGAAACAACACTGACAGTATAAACCTACTGTACTTCTCATCGATGACATGAATGCTGTTTAGATGCATTCCGGTTAATTGGCAGGGGATTAGGAAAACCTAACACAAACCAGTCAAGGTAAAGCATCTGCTCCAGGGCAATCCTGTGCTCTGGATGACGCTGCAGACCAGCCCACAAAAAACGAATGCATTCTGTGTAAAAAAAGATGAGAGAAATTTGATTATTATCTTAACTTTACACATGCTATCTTTAGCTTTATACATGCTATATAATTATTAATTCTTTGCTCAAAATCTTACCATGTGACACCGCAAATACAGACTGGTTGATGCCCAAGCAGTACAAGTCTCTGGCTTTTGGAAAACGCCCATGCAGCATTGCAAACAGGAGCACCCCTAGTGAATACACTGTCGCGGGCTTTGCATGATATCTGCCTCTGTCATGATATTCTGGAGAGAAGTATGGTTTTGTACCTGGGGGAAAGAAATTTTGTTAGATGTTTATAACACAAGCATGTTGACTATATACAAGATGCGTCTGAGTGAGCTATTCAATTTGATAGCAAAGCGATGCATAATACTTACCACAGCAGGCACTGTAGCCTGAATCCTTCACGAGGTCCCCACACCCGAAGTCAATCAATTTGATCTCCAACGTTGTCGGGTTCACGAGCACGTTTTCCAGCTTGATGTCACGATGGAAAACGCCACGATAGCAGCAAAAGTTAGCGGCATAAATTACTTGCCACATGAGGTACTGTGCTATCTGCTCGCTGAGGACACCTCCGCTGCATTTCAGAAATTTCCCCATATCCATGCTTGGCACGGGGCGCTCCAAGACTATGAGGTAGTAGTCTGGGTCATCCTGCCAGTCCAGCATTTCAATTATATGTGGACAGTTGGGTTTCCTGTTGATGATGACTGCCAATGCAATCTCTAAAGGAAGAGGTTTGGGGTGAAAAGCCTAAAAAAAAAGTAAATATGATCATTAGATTGAAGTCATTTGCCACATTGTTCGTCAAAGGCAGTTTGCCTATTGAAATGTGATTAACATCAATATAAGATGGTGTTACGCTGTATCATAAGATGATAAACAGCGAATGAGAAGAAAAATGCAGAGAGCGAAGCATACTCACAGTGCTGATATATGTCGTATGTTTCGTCTTTTGGACATATTTCACAGCCACCTGATTAACAAAACAAAGAATAAACAATTAACGTGTACAGAGGTGATTTCATTCCCGTCATGAATCCTGAAGAGAAGTAAATCAATAAGCAGTAAATTAAAACCTAGTAAAGTATGTTTGGTCAGTCAGGAAGTAAAAAAAAAAATACCTTAAGACTATCCTTATAGCGAGTCCCTTTTCGCACTGATCCAAATCCTCCTTCACCCAGCCTGGCACCAAATTTGTAACGCCAACAAATATGATCTGTTAAAAATAAGTAAACGTAAATGACATTAAATAAAGTGACATTTCATTCTTATTCATTTTATAATTAAAATTCATTTGACACACTGGAGGACTATTTAAATGAACTGCAACAAAGCTAAATGGTGATTAAAGGTGGGGTAAGTGCTTTCTGGTAGCCAATGTTGATATTTCAAATCACCAAAACAAGCACGCCCTTACCCCAAAAGGGTCTCGCCCCTATTTTGATAGCTCCGCCCCACACATACGTACGCAATCCAGGCAACGATTACGGCGGAATCTGCTGTGCCAGCCGGCCGAGGGTATGATGTCATCAATAAGTAAAAGCAAAACCAATGTTACTCGCCTATCGAGAAGTAACAAAGCAACCTCGCCGTCTGATCGCAGGCCTTCCCGCCCCTTGAGTTCTCGCCAGCGCTGGAAAGCTGATCCGATATTTACACGGGTCCTACTTGCCTTATCGTAAGCCTTCTTTTGTTCCGCAGACGTTTTCCTCTTTTGTTTTTTTATCCGCCATCTCTATCTTTCTGTCGCTCAGCTCGGCTAATATCCGTCCTGTGCACTGAGCGCTCTCTCCTCCCCATCATGAGTAGACACGCCCCTTACTGCTGTTACTACTGTTTTGGTACTCGGCCCGACTCAGTTTTCTAAAGCATTTTTGAAAAACTACATACCCCACCTTTAAATGTATTACAAAAACTTACTGTACATATTACAGCTGTTTTGGGTTATGGCAGTAAACTTACCTTTGTCTAGCTCTCCTGTTGGAACGGAGTCTACTTGAGTACGCACAGCACTGGCAATGCCCCTATATACTTGAGGATGCTTTGCAGAGGCAATGCCCACATCTACTTTGGGACGACCTTTAGAGGTAATGCCCTTGTCTACTTTGGGACATTCTTTAGAGGCAATGCCCTTGTTTACTTTGGGACGCCCTGTAGAGGCAATGCCCTTGTCTGGTTTGCGACGCTCTGCAGAGGCAATGCCCCCATCTACTTTGGGATGCACTGCACGGGCAACGTCCCTATCTACTTTGGGACGCACTGCACAGGCAATGCCCCCATCATCTTTGGGACGCACTGCACTTGATAGCTCCGCCCCACACATACGTACGCAATCCAGGCAACGATTACGGCGGAATCTGCTGTGCCAGCCGGCCGAGGGTATGATGTCATCAATAAGTAAAAGCAAAACCAATGTTACTCGCCTATCGAGAAGTAACAAAGCAACCTCGCCGTCTGATCGCAGGCCTTCCCGCCTTGCAAACCCATATTCAATAGTATCTTCACCTAGAGGCACTTTTTTTTTGTATTTTGAAAAAGCTAACTTTTCTAGGTGATGTAAGTTGATGTTTTAGATCTTAAAATTCTCAAATATTGACTGGTTTGGCTATGACACCTAAGAAAGCTATCTTATATCAATCAAAAATCGTTTCTTTTGGAAAAACAATTGTTCACACGAGGTGAGATCCCGCTATTTAAAAGTCATACATCAAGCAATACATCTCTCCTCCCCATCATGAGTAGACACGCCCCTTACTGCTGTTACTACTGTTTTGGTACTCGGCCCGACTCAGTTTTCTAAAGCATTTTTGAAAAACTACATACCCCACCTTTAAATGTATTACAAAAACTTACTGTACATATTACAGCTGTTTTGGGTTATGGCAGTAAACTTACCTTTGTCTAGCTCTCCTGTTGGAACGGAGTCTACTTGAGTACGCACAGCACTGGCAATGCCCCTATATACTTGAGGATGCTTTGCAGAGGCAATGCCCACATCTACTTTGGGACGACCTTTAGAGGTAATGCCCTTGTCTACTTTGGGACGTTCTTTAGAGGCAATGCCCTTGTTTACTTTGGGACGCCCTGTAGAGGCAATGCCCTTGTCTGGTTTGCGACGCTCTGCAGAGGCAATGCCCCCATCTACTTTGGGATGCACTGCACGGGCAACGTCCCTATCTACTTTGGGACGCACCGCACAGGCAATGCCCCCATCATCTTTGGGACGCACTGCACAGGCAATTCCCCCATTTACTTTGGGACGCTCTACAGCCTGATTTTATTACATTTTATTGAATGTCTGACGGTGTTGACAAAAAGTGGGAACGCAACTTTAAAATCTTATGAAACATGCATGTGTATTTAAAAAACAACCTTGCTTTGATAGGCGATATTACTAAGTGTTGCTTTTGATAAAACAAGCTCTTTTTCATCATTAAAAAAACATTTTTATCCATTTTATTGCATATGAATGCTTGAACCCTTCTCTGTGGACACACTGTTTTAGATGTAGTGAGAGGACATTAAGAAACACAGATTTGGTATAATAATGAGAAAATTAAATTGAAGGTGATAATTGTGTTAAATACATTCTATTATTAATCCCTCATGACATTTAAAATTGAAAATATTTATATTTTGAAACCTAATAGCAGTTACCCTTGCTGGACCTGTTTTGTCCCATGTCTCAAGAATGACTGAGCTGTTAGAGTAAATGGCCTCTTGTAAGAAAATGTGCTTTTTATGGTCCAAAAATGTATGAAGATCAAAAATATGTTAATTATTTAATAGAATATTGGTGTATGCATGGACTGTAAAAAGCTCAAGGATGCCATCTTCCACCTACGATTCTGACATGTTACCAAAAGACACAAGTTTAGTGTCAAACTTGAGGAGATTCAAAGCAGTTTGCCGAATGCAAAATTTCCATTTGATCACTTTTTCGTCCGTCATGATCTGATGATAATATAATTCCGTTTTAGCAAAGATTGGACAACATTTATTGGAGGATTGCAACTGGAATCACATCAAGCAGTTTGACAGTACACTTGACCTCTTTTGATTAATTAGGTGAGATTCAATGAACATCATAACATTTTATTTAGGAAATGTAACTCTTAAGTATTTTTATCTGTCTCTGTAATCACCTCTAAGTTGTTATTATTTAGGTAGGTTTAAGAGAAAACATGATTTATTATGTGTGCAGACTTATGTCATATTTATTGATTGATTTTTGTCAAAAATATTTCTAACCAGTCTAATAGTCATTAATAAAAGACAAAAGTGAAAGTCTGAATGGGTAAGTCACCCTAATCTAAACAGAAATGTATCAATATTGAAGTATCTTGTCCTAACTCATGACAATTCTTATTAGCATAAATCTGCAATATGTTAAAAGTCATTGCATGGTAAATCAAATTATCTTACAAAAGTGGTTCTGGGACAATGTCTTCTACCTACAGTAGTTTAGAGACTGTTTCAAGTATGTTTTTCATTCAACATGTTTGTTTTGTTTTTTTACTACAGAGTGCTCTATGGAGTTCCCAAAGCTCCCCCCTCACTCCGGCTCTGTGTTATCAGTGCTGGACATGCACACGGGCGGAGAGCCGCTGCGCATTATCCTGAGTGGGTATCCAGAGGTGAAGGGGGACACCATCCTTGCCAAACGACGCTATGTGAGAGAGCAGCTTGATCATCTCCGCAAGGTGTTAATGTTCGAGCCCCGAGGTCACTATGATATGTACGGAGCCCTGCTGGTCAGAAGTGAGTTAGCAGAAGCTGATCTCGGCGTCTTGTTCATGCACAACGAAGGGTACAGCACCATGTGTGGCCACGCTGTCATTGCTCTCGGGCGCTTTGCTGTGGATTATGGCTTGATAAAAGCGCCCACTTCCCCAGAGACGCAGATAAACATACACTGCCCCTGTGGCTTAGTGAAGGCCTTTACACAGTATTCCAATGGGAAAACTGGAGCTGTCAGATTCCACAGTGTGCCAGCCTTTGCTTTCGCTACGGGTGAGCAATAGGGTGTGATCATGACAATATGATCGTAAAACATTTGCAAGTTTGATATGTTCAAATGGTGTCACTTTGAAACATATATTTTTAGATTGTTTTTAATTAATCACTTGCCAAACTTGTTTTATATATATATATTTTGCATAATATCAAATTTAAATTGTCTTTAAGAGAGCTGTTTTATTCTTTGCCTTCCTTGTTTCTCTAGATGTGAGTGTCTCGGTACCAGGATATGGATCCATCACTGTGGACATCAGTTATGGCGGAGCTCTGTATGCTTTTGTGAGTTCTGAGAAATTTGGATTGGATGTCAACAAGTCCAAGACCAGAGATCTGGTGGATGCAGCCACTGCTGTGAGCGATGCTGTTAAATCCCAGGTAACTGTTGTTATTGTTAACTAAAACTAGTAACTTTGTTCATTAAAATGAGCTAAAATAAAGTAGAAATATTACTTAAAAAATGTAACTGAAAAAAACTAGAGATGTTGCCTCAGCAATTAATTGCAGGTTTAAGTTGAAATACTAAAATTAGTAGAACTTTAAATAAAATCAAGCTAATTAGAAAAAAAACTAATTCTGTTGAAAACACATATCATAATGACTAAAACTAACTCAAATTAAAATGAAGACTGGAAAATAAAAATAAAGCTAATATAAATAATTCTAAAATAACCTTATTTGACTCTTGTTTGATTCTTGAGATTTTTATTTTTTTTAAACTGGCAAGTGAAAGAAACATAAACCTACTTTATTCAACATTGTGTTTTATTAGTCTGTCATTTGTATGATAATTGACTGGACTAATTGTTGTAATGACTCTAGGTAAAGCTGTACCATCCAGTCAGTGAGGATCTGGCCTTCCTCTATGGCACAATCCTTACTGACGGTAAAGATGCTTTTTCTGAAGAGCCCACGGCCAATGTGTGTGTGTTTGCTGATGCACAGGTAAAACCAGTTGTTTATATGAATCCGTATACAGAAAGTTCGGGACTTTAGGACTGTTCATCCTAATATGAAATCATTTGGTTGATGGCGACTGGTCTTTTGCTCTTTGTGACAGAGGTTTGTTATATGGATTGTCAGGTGGACAGAAGCCCTACAGGGTCAGGCGTCACTGCTCGCATAGCTCTTCAGTACCATAAAGGCCTGATCGGACTGAACCAGACCAGAAGCTTCAAGAGTGGAGCTACAGGATCAGTGTTTACAGGAAAAGCAATAGAGGTACCTGTAGAAAATATAAACCTTTTTAGGTTCTAGTCCTGGAAATGTAGTTTATATTCTTTAACAAAAGCAGTAATTGTAGCTGGTCTGTTGTTGAAGGAGACCACGTGTGGGGACTTCAGGGCTGTGGTAGTGGAGGTCACAGGTCATGCTCACTACAGCGGTGTGGCCAGCTTCACCCAAGAGAACGATGACCCTCTGAGAGGTGGTTTTCTTCTGCGCTGACTTAAAGTTTACAACTGATATTTCTGCTTCTGATCGCAGGTACAGTGTAAGACAGGTTTTCTGAGCTCAGGGACATGTGAATCTTCTGATGTAGGTTCTTTATAAAGGAAATCATGATTAGACATTGAATAAATGTTTAGATAGGATTTCAATATATTGTTTTTTTAACCTGGGTTTTTTTGTTACATTCTCTAACAAATACTTAGACATTTCACAAAAATATAGTTTTAATTTTTATACTGTCAGTGTTTAGTTCTATTTAGTGTGTGTATATACATATACACAGTCATGGCCAAAAATATCGCTGTGAAAATTAATCTGCATTGTTAATCCTTGTGATCTTTTATTAAAAAAATTCACAAAAATCTAACCTTTCATTGGATAATAAGAAATTAAAATGGGGGGGAAATATCATTATGAAATAAATGTTTTTCTCAAATACACGTTGGACACAATTATTGGCACCCCTAGAAATTCTTATTTATGAGTAAAATATCTGTGAAGTATATTCCCATTCATATTCACAATTTTGAGCACTCCAGGGTGATTATGAACATGAAATTATCCAGCCATGGCTTCCTGTTTCACAGAAATATAAATAGGAGGAGGAGAGTTTGAGTGGCTGGGTAAAGACTCTCCAAGGACCACAGCTGGAGAATTGCAGAAAATAGTTGAGTCTTGGGGTCAGAAAAATGTTGTTTGGGAGGGTTTCAAGAAAAAAAAAATCAAGAAAAGAAAATGCTCTCATCCAAAAACAAGCTCCAGCATATTCAGTTGTCAGACACGACTGGAACTTCAAATGGGACTGGCTTCTATGGTCAGATGAAACTAAAAAAATGAGCTTTTTAGCAGCAAACACAGTTTGGTGCACACAGGGGTAAAAAGTACCCCATGTGTACAATAAAATATACTGCTGTATTTTTAATGTTGTGGGCCTATATTTCTGCTGGAGGTCCTGGACATCTTGTTTAGACACATGGCATCATGGATTCCATCTCATACCAACAGATAAAAAAAATCAATAAGTGACTGACTCTGTTAGAAATCTTATAATGGGCCATGTTTGGATCTTCCAACCGTTCAAAAATCCAAACACAAACCTCAAAAACAACACAAAAATGGGTCACTGGGCACAAAACCAAGCTTCTGCTGTGGCCATTCCAGTCCTCTGACCTGAACCCTATAGAAAATGAGTGTGGTGAACTGAAGAGGAGAAGCACCATCATGGAGCTGGGAATCTGAAGGGTCCGGAGTGATTCTGGAAGAAGGAATTGTCTCTGATCTCTTGTCAGGTGCTCTCTAACCTCATCAGGCATTACAGGAGAAAACTCAGAGCTGTTATTATGCCAAATGGAGGTTTCAAAAAGCATTGAATAAAAGGGTGATGTTAATTGTGGCCAACGTGTATTTGAGAAAAACATTTATTTCATAATGATATTTCCCCCCATTTTAAATTCTTATTATCCAATGAAAGGTTAGATTTTTGTGAATTTTTAAAATAAAAGATCAAAAGGATTAACAATGCAGATTAATTTTCACAGCCGCCTTTGATCATATTTACCAAGGGTGCCGATATTTTTGGCCATGACTGTGTGTGTGTATGTATATGTATATGTATATATATATATATATATATATATACACACACACACACACTAAAGAAAATGACAATTAAAAAACTTAAAAATAATAAGAGTAAAAATTATACATTTCCAAAAGTGTATATATATATATATATATATATATATATATACACACACACTAAAGAAAATGACAATTAAAAAAACTTTAAAATAATAAGAGTAAAAATGATACATTTCCAAAAGTCAATACAATACACATCATCAGTTCTGGATTAAATATAAAATAATTAGTTTTATAGTATATGTGAAAGTGATGTGACGTGGCCAAGTATGGTGACCCATACTCGAAATTAGTGCTCTGCATTTATCCCATCCAAAGTGCACACACACCGTGAACACACACCCAGAGCACTGGGCAGCCATTTATGCTGCGGCGCCCGGGGAGCAGTTGGGGGTTCGGTGCCTTGCTCAAGGGCACCTCAGTCGTGGTATTGAAGGTGGGAGAGAGCGCTGTACATTCACTCCCCCCACCCACAATCCCTGCCGGTACGAGACTCAAACCCCCGCAACCTTGGGTTACGAGTCCAACTCCAACCATTAGGCCACAACTTCCCCTGTAAATATACACTACCACTCAAAAGTTAAATTTGGACAGTAAGATTTTTAATGTTTTAAATAATTCTTTTCTGGCTCACCAAGCCTGCATTTTTAAAAAATCCAAAATACAGCAAAAGCAGTAATGTTGTTAAATATTTCACTATTTAAAATAACTGCTTCCTATTTTAATATATTTTAAGATGTAATTTTCAGCATCATTACTCCAGTCTTCAGTGTCACATGATCCTTCAGAAATCATTCTAATATGCTGATTTGTTGTTCAAGAAACATTTTTTTTTATTATTGTCAATATTTAAAACGGTTGAGTACAAAACAGTTTTTCAGAATTCTTTGATAAATTGAAAGATCCAAAGATCAGCATTTATCTGAAATAAGCTTTTGTAACATTATAAACTACATCATTCATAAGCTTGGAGTCAGTATATTTAAATCATTATAGATTTGTTATTAAATTATGAAATTATAGAAATATTTTATTTAGCAAGGATGCATTAAATTGATCAAAAGTGATGAGAAGGACATTTATAATGTTCCAAAATATTTCTATTTCAGATAAATGCTGTTCTTCATACTATTCATCAAAGAAACCTAAAAAAATCTACTCTGCTGTTTTCAACATGGTAATAAATAATAAATATATTTTTTTAGCAGCAAATGAGAATATTAGAATGATTTCAAAAGGATCATGTGACTAGAGTAATGATGCTAAAATCAAGCTTTGAAATCACATGAATAAATTACATTTTAAAATATATTCAAATAGGAAGCGGTTATTTTACATAGTAATAATATTTTACAGCATTACTGCTTTTGCATCAAATAAATGCAGGCTTGATGAGCAGAAGAGAATTCTTTAAAAAAAACATAAAAAAATCTTACTGTCCAAAAACTTTTGACTGGTAATGTAGCTGTAACTGTATAAGTAAATGTAAATGTAAAAAAAAAAAAGTGACAAGTTTAATATTGTAATGCTAATATTGCCCACCAGGGAACATCATCTGACTGTAGGAACAGTGTGGTGACAATGTTTTTAATCATTTTAATATAACATTTGGAATTTTTTTTTTACCTGTCGAAGACTGCATGACTGAAACATTGTATTAAAATGTGATTCACAAGCTATAGCAGTGTGTGGGATTCTACGTGTCTGCTTATATGATTTACTTGTGGTGGTATTTCATTTAGATTTTTTACCATTTTTTTTTTTTTTTTTGCTTTACCATTCACTAACAATCAGAGACGACTTAAATTGACAACATAATAGAAAATACTACTCAGATTCTTCCATTTATTCTCTTATGATTCATCTTACAATGGAAGGTTGTGTTTTCCTTAAATTATAAAATTCCAATGGAGGTATCTTACTCTGAAAAAGGAAACTTTGTTATACCATACAACTAGGCTGCTGATAAAAAAAACAAACAGGAGAGACTCCAGACAGGAAGGAAGAACGTAAGGGAAGAAGAGTATTGCCTTTTAAATATGACTACATTTCACATGAAACCTCCTCAAACAGAGAGACCAACACTTGACATCAGAAACTGCATAGTGTCTGTACAATGACCGTCCACAGAGTTTAAGACAACATGGGCTCCAGAGGCCCCTAAAAACACACCTTTAAAAAATCATCCCCAGTCAGCCTGGATCGGATATTACAATGCAGTCTTCTTTCTGTAAAAGCAACCCACAACCCTGGTTATTAATGTCAGTAATATTCCTTTAAAACACTATGTATTAAAAAAAAAAAAAAAACACCTTTTGTCAAAAGGGCAAAATCCTTTTCTTAAAGGTGTACAGTCACTTTACAGCTTTTCAGTGACCTATGTACAGACACTTGTCATTGGAATCTTTAAATTACATCCATTCCCACTTTGAATCAGTCAGAAAAGCAAGATGAGTGACGCTTTAGCATGCCAAGACTCAGTGTCACTTTTGGCGATTTGTTTGGTTACAGTAAGAAAAATTGGGGTTGACAAGATTTGCCGTTTCTATGGTCAAATGAGCCTGAGTTTCTGATTCATATCCAATCAGTAAACCCATAGTTATATCAATCTCTGATAATATCCTGGTGCTCCAGCACTCTTGATGAAATAAATCATTAAATCAGGTTCATTTGGCAGCCGTATTCCTAATTTCTGAGTCTTTTCTCTCTGCATTTAGACAGGTTTCCAATTACAGTCACATGACACATGATAAGCTGACCGTCTTTGGGTAAACATGCTTTCCTCTGCTACCCGGGATCGAGTTTAATCTGAGGAGAGGAGCTAATGGGTGTCCTCCAGACATTCACCACCACAGGGAGGTTGTTTGGTTGTAATGAAATGCGTCTCAGTGGTTGGTCTGCTTGTCCGCCGTTCAGAAGTTAAGCTTGGTAATTGGACGCTCCCTGCCGGTGTCTGACGTCTGGCTGTTGATGCGTTTGCGATTGCGCTTCATCTTCGACAGATCTTTATCGAAAACCTCTCCAGAACGCAAAGCCGACACCAGGTCGTCAAACTCGCCACCATCGTCCTCTCCGTTCTCTTTGGCTTTTCGAGCCTTCTTCTCTCTCTCCCTCTGCTCCTTGAGCTGAAAGATATCGAAAAGATGATGTCAGATTTGGCAGTGAATAGGTGAAGAATGAAGAGATGAGTTATGGACCTCTTAAGTGTTTTGGCTTGAGCATTATTGCATGATTATAGTATTGCAGCAGATGCTGTCAGTTGATTAAGCGTGTGTTCACATTTGGCATGTTTGGTTCGATTAAAACAAACTCTGGTGCGATTGCTCTGTTAGTGCGGTTCGTTTGAGTAAGTGTGAACATTGCCATCCGAAACCTGGTGCGCACCAAACAAGCGGACCGAATCCAAACGCAATCTGGTGCGGTTCGAATGAAATATGAACGCAAAATGGACCAAATGCTTCTAAACTAACCAAAAACAGGAAGTACTGACAAGATGCGACGCTATGCCCAGAACGCAAAGCCGACACCAGGTCGTCAAACTCGCCACCATCGTCCTCTCCGTTCTCTTTGGCTTTTCGAGCCTTCTTCTCTCTCTCCCTCTGCTCCTTGAGCTGAAAGATATCGAAAAGATGATGTCAGATTTGGCAGTGAATAGGTGAAGAATGAAGAGATGAGTTATGGACCTCTTAAGTGTTTTGGCTTGAGCATTATTGCATGATTATAGTATTGCAGCAGATGCTGTCAGTTGATTAAGCGTGTGTTCACATTTGGCATGTTTGGTTCGATTAAAACAAATTCTGGTGCGATTGCTCTGTTAGTGCGGTTCGTTTGAGTAAGTGTGAACATTGCCATCCGAAACCTGGTGCGCACCAAACAAGCGGACCGAATCAAAACGCAATCTGGTGCGGTTCGAATGAAATATGAACGCAAAATGGACCAAATGCTTCTAAACTAACCAAAAACAGGAAGTACTGACAAGATGCGACGCTATGTGACATGATTTGATGAAGGGAACAAGCAGTGTATCCAAAACAAAATGAGCAGAGGGCAAACATAGAGCAACGAGGAGGTAAACTGCCTTTTATGAGCTCGCTCAGTCCAGCAGGCGGCATTAGGTGTATTCGACTTAAAAGTGGCGCTGAGCAGACCGATCAGTGAATGGGAACTTTGAAGTTATACACCAAGTCATGAACGTATCACTCTGCCTTTAGGTTCAGTATCTATAGGTTCGCTGTCAAAAATGGCAGTGTGAATGCTAAGCGGAGCAGGACCAAATGTATCATTTTCCTTTATGGTCCGGACCAAATGAACCAAACAAACGAAACTACAAGTGTGAACACACCCTAACTTTCTCAGCTGAGATTTTTTACGTTTAAAAAAATAAATAAGTAGCAAAATATTTGTTGTAAAATATAGTATCTTTGCGAACATTTAAAAAACATTTAATAATTGACAAATACAATTATTACTAATTTAAAGGGGTCCTATTATGCTCTTTGACAAAGTCTTGATTTTGTTTTGGGGGTGTACTAGAACATGCTCTCATACTAGGTTGTTCGAAAAACACATTATTTTTCACATATTTTACATTATTACAACACCTCTCTCCCCAGTTTGGCATGAACGACTCGAATAGTTCCTGTATCAAATGAAGTCCCGCCTTCTGAAATATTAAATGTGCTGTGACTGGTTAGCTGGGCCAGTGTGTGTTGTGATTGCCAGCACTCGGCGCCTGGTCGGGAAATGTCATGCCCCTCACCATAGCCACCTGCTGCGAGCTTCAGTGTAAATATTGCGTCAAAAATCAAATAAATTTTCGCATGATTTAAACCCGGATGATTGTAACCACTCTAAGTTTGTCTGCCTTGGGAAAGCTAGCATGTCTCCAACATAGTGATAACACTGGTTGCCTTCTCTAGTGCAGCTCAACCAGGTCTCGTCCCATTCGTCAATATTTGTGATATTGTGATATCCCGGAAAATGTGTGTTGTAGTCCAAACGAGTCGTTCGTTGTAGTTTTTGAAAAGTGATTTCTGTTAAATAAAATATCTCCTATTTAAGTGGACTTTGAACTTTGCAGATCTTTTTTATGCTCAAACAGCAACATTACAGACTAACTAAAGTTGAAAAAGTGAAAAAGCATAATAGGACCCCTTTAAAATAACAATAACTAAAGTCCCATTTACACCAAGAGCGATAACTATAAAGATAACGATATTAGCATCCACACCAGCGAACGATATCGTCTGTTTATTCTAAGCGCACCTGCGTCTGCCGCTTTAAATTCTCGAGCTCGTTATAGCAGGATGGATTCTGATTGGGTGTCAATGTTTGTATCGTTCATCAGCTGGAAAAAATCATTCTGAAAGAAATTCCAACGATATCGTTTCTCTGTGCCTTTATCGTTATAGTTGTAGTGTGGACTCTGCTATTCTTTAATATTGAGAACGATTTTTAGAACTATATCTTTATCGTTATCTTTATAGTTATCGTGCTTGGTGTGAACGGGCCTTAACAACTGTTACTAATTTACAGTTACAATAAGCATATAACTTAGCCACCTACCAAACAAGGATTTCTTTGTTTTGTATATACTATAAATGTTGTAACAGTTTTGGAAGACTGTATAAAAAATCTCAACTGTTTTCTATTTGAATAGATTTTAAATGTAATTTATTCCTATAACAGTAAAGCTGAATTTTCAGCAGCCATTACTCTAGTCGTCAGTATCACATGATCCTTCAGAAATCATTCTAATATGCTGATGCCTTGGTGAGCACAAGAGGCTTCTTTCAAAAACTAAAAAAAAATTAAATCTTAAGTATTTTTTAATAAATAAATGATATTGAGATTAATTATTAATTTCCAAAACGTCAAATTGAATTTAATTAAAAAACTTCACAGACCTGAGCCTCCATTCGTGCCCTGCGCTCCTCCTCTTCTTTGCGTCGCCGCATGTTCTCGTTCTCTTGACGGGCCTCTCCAAAGGACTGCAAGAACTGGTCGAATATCCCAAAGAACTCATCGGGCTGCATCTTATCAGCATCTTCACCAAAGTGCTTGACCGCCTTTAAGAACTGGAGAACAGAAGCACTGGTCATATGAAAGCCATTTCCTGCTCTCTTTACTTTCAGAGTAATGACGTGAACATGAATACTTCAAGATGTAGTGACAATGAAATAAATAAACAAAAATGTTCATAATATTTAAAAAAAATATGTAAAGAATGTTTTAAAGTGCAAACCAAGAGGAACAACAAATTGCAGTGAAATGGGCAGACAGCAGCATAACAAACTCTGGGGGTCTAATGAACTTCTGGTAAATGAAGTGTGTGACGAACTGCTAGTTATCCAGTCACCGGTAGCCAAGCATAAAGTGGTCTTGTTAACCCAGATTTCTCCAGTGACTGATTACAGCCTAAACACAGGGGACTGGAGTCTTGCCATGGCACTGCTGCTGCCTCGTGACGTCTCACCACAGGGGAGGAGGCCTAGTCTTCCCACAATGCCTTTGATGTGCCTTTATCACTGCCATATGGAACAGCTCCTCCATGGGCCTGTATGTGCCTGAGCCAAGGGGCATATTTTTATTTCTCCTTTGCCCTGCTTTTATATCTCTTCTTATCTGTCTCAGACTTCAGACAGGAAGCCTAGGTTGGGTTGGAGATACATCTTTTCTGTTATAGAATGCATGTGGCATGTTATTGTGCATTTATGTGTAGGCCCTCTCTATTAAGATATACAGGTGCATCTCCATAAATTAGAATGTCGTGGAAAAGTTAATTTATTTCAGGAATTCAACTCAAATTGCGAAACTTGTGTATTAAATAAATTCAATGCACACAGACTGAAGTAGTTTAAGTCTTTGGTTCTTTTAATTGTGATGATTTTGGCTCACATTTAGAATACTTCAAGACTTAAACTACTTCAGTCTGTGTGCATTGAATTTATTTAATACACGAGTTACACAATTGTTGAATTACTGAAATAAATGAACTTTTCCACGACATTCTAATTTATTGAGATGCACCTGTATGCATTAAAATACAATTTATACATAGGGGAAATAAAATTTTACCTCTCATGATAGCATTATAAAGAAAAAGGCTCATTAAAAAGTAAATACAATTTAATTAATCAAAAATAAATAATATTTTGGCATAACCTATTAAAAATATTTATTAGAAAAAATATATTTGAACAAAACTGTTTCATTGCTTATTAATATTTGAAAGACACTGGGGAAAAACCCCCCAAAACAAAAGATGATGATATCATAAAGAGGACCCCTGTGTGTATCAAGTCAGTAAAACTCTTAAAACATCAAATAATTTGCAGTGGTGGTATTGTTAACTGATATTTTTCAGTAATTTAAATACAACTGAAACAAACAAAACGTATTCAATGAAAAACTAAAATTAAACAAATTAAACTAATATAATAAAAGACAATTAAATGCTAATGTATTAATACATAATATTATAGTATATAACTAATACTAAAATAATATTTTTGTAATTTTTGACCATTTTATGACAACATAAGGTTAGTTCAGGTTGTAAAATGTGTGGTGTGACTGATATTTATTATTAATTTATCCTATTTATTGAATAATACTTTATACTAAAACAAACTTTACTACATTAATATTAAAATAAGACAATTAAAAGCTAATATATTAATAAATACTATTATAGAATATAACTAATACTAAAATAGCATTTTTGTCATTTTTGACCATTTTATGTCAACAAGGTTTGTTCAGGTTGTAAAATGTGTGGTGTGACTGCTATTTATTAATCATTTATCATATTTATTAAACAATACTTTCTTTATCTTTATGCATTAAATACTATATCATATATCATATAAATATGAAGCCAACATGAACACAAAGAGTACATTTCTAAGAACTTAAATGTGGGCTGTCCCATTTATGAGAGATTTTAACATTCAAAACAGTCACAATCCTGTCATAAAAGCCCAATATCATGAATTTGCTGCACTTTACCTTTCAAAAACCTTAACATTTTATATGCCCATTTCCCCTCACAGGACTGGAAGATATTGTGTAGCGTGCGTGTTAACAACTGCCTGCCTCCCTCTGCACAGATGGACCTCTCGAAAGCAATAAGAGTTATATGTTCTGTTCCCTCTCTGTGTCCTGTGGGGCCCCCAGAGGCCAGTGAAAGTGCCAGGGTCGCTCCATAGGAAGCGTTCACAGCGAGAGGCTGAAGGTCAGCTCCTGCACGCAGCAGGACGTTCAGAGTGAGCGCAGCCTGTTTCTCCAGCTGGCCTTTGAAGGAAAGGCTGAGCACCAGGATGTGCATCTTAAAGATACACACTCAAACAAACAAATGCAGTCCATCACACACTCACCAGTTCTTTGGCCTCGCTGAGGGAGTCCTCGACATCAGAGAAGCTGAAACTGGCCACTGTGATGAACTGGCTGACTACTGACACAAACTTATCCCCATACTCCTGAGGACGCTTCTTCTGGAATTCGAGCTCCTGCATGAGAGACAGAAACTCTGTCCTGTACATGATTTGCTTTTAAGCCTGAAAAAAAAGAGGAATCATGCAGCACTTACACTCTCTACGCTCTTCAAGCCACTGCGAAGATTATTGATCTCCTTCTCCAGTTCAGTCATGCTGGAAACACACAATCGTAGAGATCCCAGTCATTTTATGTGTGATCAAGAATGCATTTTCTACAGGTGATTGGGGTAAAATGTGACACTTTTAAATTAAGCTGTCCTCCAGGTAAGGAGAAATTATATAAAAACATAATTTAGTCAGTCTACTATAAAATCCATAACAACGGGACACAGAAAAAGGATATAAAAAAGGGACAAGCGGCAAGTTGAATCAATGGGGAACTTTTTTTTAAAAGTTCATTTTTAAAAAAAAACGTTGTTAAACAATTTTAAACTATTTTTTAGATTTAACTATTGAATATTATTTGTGTTTAATAGTTAAAAATATGAGAGAAAACTTGTAATTGGAGGCAGATCTTACAATTATTATTATATCATCTGACACATTTTCCCCACAGCTACTATTCTGTAAATATTAATACCTGGCAGTGATCTATAATTTAGATAATTGAAATAACTTAAAATGTACCAACAAGTATTATATATTTAGTTTTTAATTATTCTATTTTTATATAAATTAAATTTAAATGCATTTTTATATACTTTTTGTTTAATTTTCCATACATTTATTGTACTTGCCATTTAACTTTAAAAAAACGGGTAACGCTTTACATTAAGGTCCCAACAGTTAGGGGTCATCGGATGCTCATTTGATGTAAGTTGATATGATTATTTAGGGTCTTAATGAAATGTCTATAACATACTTTGGTTAAAATTTCTCAATGCTAGTGTAAAACAACACCATTTTACCCTGTCAAAATCAGCTCTGTTTTAGCAAGCAATTCTAGTCCATGTTGCTTTAAATGCTAATGAGCTCTACTCACCCCGCCCCTCTCTTCTGTGGACATATTAGGAAAGGCGATTTGCAAAGATTCATAAAAAACCTTGTACTCACTTCTTGTGTAGATGAAGCTGGATCACGCTTTATCGAACATAGACGCATTTAGGCAGATCGGTGATCGTTAACGTTAATCCTCTACGCGTCTTCAGCGGCTCAGATGTCTGGAGTAAATGACGACTGCTATGTTCATTATTACATCCAACAACAACAAAAGTGAATTTTGCATCCGATGACCCCTTTAACAATTAGCAATACATTTGTTACAGAATTCATTACAATAGTTAGTTTGTTATCTTAGGTCCATTAAAATAATATTTAAAACAAATCAAACTTTTTATTTTAATAATATAAATGTTGAAATTTAAATCTAATTTAAACAATTACATTAAACATTTATCTTTTTTTTCAAAATGTGTTTTTTAATATTTATATCATATTTAAATTATATTTTAATACTAATTTTATATATTTTTAGCTCAATTTAATGATTAAATATTTAAATATGTACTGTACATCTCTCAGTCACAGTCAGCAGTATGGGGGGCCCTTTTAAAATATATGGCCATATAACAAAAATCTCCATATGCCATACAGGCTGACCATTTTTAACCTTTTATCCAAACAGGTCACACTGATAAGAAGCTAAGATATGTCTAACAGGCATTTATCTGAACTTTAACCCCTGTGATAGCACTAAAGTGACTCCATTAGTCAGATACTGCATATAATGTGTGTGAACGGCTCCGTTTCGAGCCAGCTATTCTTAGCTGCACAAATGACCTCCTCAGTAGGACGGATAGCCGCTTGTCTTCAATCTGTGCAGCCTTTATTCCTCGCTCCACACAAATAGGCCATTGTAACGGACTGAACCGTCAAAGTACACAGAAACATGCTTATGGAAAAACCTGTCTGCACTTGCTGACTGGCCACTCAAACTCAGTGTACCTTGTGACCCTGGAACTTATTTTTATTTGCTGAATAAATGACACTGACTTATAGAATGAGTCAAACAAACAGAATCCTTTGTTTCATTCTTTCTACCCCCTCAAATGAGATCACGGTCTTGTGACTTCACTTGTGGACCGAGCATGATTACATTAGTCTCGCTGGCGCGACTAAAAAGTAGTTTAGTGGCCGTTCTACTGTACATTTGGATAGTCCCTTTAAGGCAATGACTCAAAATTAGAAACTATTTTCCAAAGGGTGAGAACGTCACAAGCATATCACTCACAATTTGGCCCAAATTTGCTGGCACACACTTCACAGCAGCACGCAGATCTCGAGAGGTCATCGAGTGGAGATCTCTCTGCTGTGGTGGTATGCATGTATCTCTCTTCCAACTATGATTTAGGGTTTTACTCTACATATGTGAGTAAGTAACCAAAAGCTTGTATGACCCACAGCATGGATTCAAGCCCAGTGGTGGGCAGGACGGGAGTGACACCACAAAAACTATTTCCAAAATCCATTTAGCGCAAGTAGACCCTAAAGGCCTGTAAATCGTAAAGCTGATGATAGAAGCGCACACCAGCCACTCTGCAGCTGTACCTACTTTACTTTTGCAGCTTCCGGCACGTTCGGCAGCTCCTCTGAGAAGATCACGACTTTGGAGTACTTCTTCTCCAGAATGGTGATCAGGTAGTGTAGGAGAGTGATATTCCTGCAACGGGGCAAAGACCACAATCAATGTATGAATATAAAAGCGAGAAATAACTGTCTTATTTTTTTCATATCTTCTCACTTGTCGATGCTGGACTTGGTGTCTGCAATCTTATTGAGTGAAGAGATTTTGAAGCCGTAAGCATTGCCTCTCTGTCCTTTGTTCATGTAGTTGCCGAACGCCAGCACCACCTCCAGCAACTGCTTGAGATTTCTACTGTGCAGCACCTCTTTTGAGGCCTTGGACAGTGCTGAAAAGTGAAACACAAAGAGTCACACACAAGCCTAAAATGTTTAAATGTTATGGTATACTGTAACAATATGGTATACTGTAATCATTATCACTAGCCAATTTAAGCAGTTGAATATTAGTAGAATAGTCTGTTAATTGTGACATCATAATGTAATATTGTGAAATATTACAAATTGAAACTATGTTCTATTTGAATATCCTATAACATTTAATTTATTCCTGTGATGGCAAAGCTGAATTTTCAGCAGCCATTACTCCAGTATTCAGTGTCACATGATCCTTCATTCTAATATGATGAATTGGTGCCCAGTTATTAATAATGGTTCTTATTATTATCATCAATGTTATAAACAGTTTTTGCTGCTTAATATTTTTGTGGAAACATTATTTCAGAATTCTTTGATGAATGGACATTTAAAAAGAACAGCATTTATTTGAAATAGAAACTTTTGTGACATTATAAATGTTTTTACTGTCACTTTTAATCAATTCCATGTATATTTTCTGAATAAAAGCATTCATTTCTATTAAACACACACACGCCCAAACATTTGAATAGTAGTATATCATGGTTTCAGCATAAATATTAAGTAGCACAACTGTTTTCAACATTAATAATAATAATAATAAATGCTTATTAAGCAGCAAATCGGCATATTAGAATGATTTCTGAAGGATCATGTGAGACTGAAGACTGGAGTAATGATGCTGAAAATTCAGCTTTGCCATCAAAAGAATACAATACATTAAAAAATATATATATATATATATATAAAAAAGAAAACAGTTGTTTTAAATTGCAATATTATTTCACAATAAGTTTACTGCATGTACTGTCAATCATAATGTTTTCAAACTTTTGGAAAGTGCTTATAAAATATATATATATATAATTTTAATTTATTTTTATTATATTAATTATACATTACTTTTTAATTAATCTAAATATTAATCAGAATATTCTGCACTTGAATACAGCAATTCTTATATACTAAAAATGGGACTGTCAGTTCAAAACAAGTAAATAAATAAATAAAAAATGTTTTTAAAAAAAATGATCAACTGATTTTTGCAATGCAAATGTGTTTAAAGTGCACATGCACAAACCTTCAACTTTAGGTTTAATTTCTGCAATCCTCTCTGCAAACTTCTTTTTGAAGTACAAAGACTGTAACCTCTGCTGGTAATGGTTTATTCTGTGTGAAGGACAAAGAAAGAGGATTGGGCCAGGGAAAAATATCAAAGCAAGGTCCATTAAAAGGATTGCACACTACATCACCCATAATAGATTCTAAATGAGCTGTAGAGATTTACTGTCTTGCATATGACACAATAAAACACACATGACCTGTATACACAGCATTAATGGTTCCACTGAATAAAGAACAAACAGTCTGAAGCAGTGATCTGAACCTGACGCTGCTGTGTTGCATTCAGCACTCTCGTGTCGGAAACAATCACCTTGGTTACCGCACTTGCCGAGGGCCTAAACACAGCCTTAGAGACTAAAATCGGACAAGCCAGTCGATTCTTGGAACGATTTGTCTTCCATCCTCTATACTCCAAACACATCAGCCACAGCGGAGTGAAAAAAAAAAAACTCACTAGGGTCTCATAAACAGGAAGAAAAAGCAAGCAAGCCAAGGCACCCGTGCTTTGTTTGGCTAAGCGCCTCTGCTAGAAAGCTGCATGTCTACGATAAGATAGTACTTATTTAGTTACAGAAAATATTGATGCTGAATGGGATCCTCAGTCTGACCAGATCAATGCGTCACCCAGGATTCATAACCCTTTTCCTTCCTTCCTACAGGAAATCGAATTTTACTTCTAACACCACGTGTTTGAGCGTGTGGAAAATTGAAACAGATCTGAATAAGTCACTGTACAGTGGTGGGTGGCCTTCACGGATGAGATATTCCTTACATACAACGTGTACTAAGCCAACATCATGAAATCCACTGTGTGGGACTGTGGAGGTGAACAGCACGATGCTCATCGCGGTGCCAAGATGAAATAAAGATCCAAGCCAATCAGCAATGGGGCTTATGGGTAGTGTGCAGCAACATTTAGGTATCAGCTTAAGGCTTTTGAGCTCCTTAATAAAAATGTCTTCCTTTTTAGAGAGTGGGGAGCCTTTATTTTCAAATGGACAAAGACTAACTTAGTTAAGCCATCACAGTTATCTAATTAAATAAAGCTCCTCATGATAAAAGTAGAATTGTGAGAAAGGAAAAAGTTAATCAAATTAGGGTCTATTTACACTCGTGATGCACTTTTAACTTCTTTTTACTCGAGATGCATCACAATGGTCAAAGACTTGTGTATGTTTGCATAGACTAGGGATGCGCCGATCCGATATTCATATCGGGTATCGGCTCCGATACTGCCATTTTTCTCAGAACGGGTATCGGTCAGAGGGCCGATCCAAATCCGAGATTTAAATTTTTTTTCAGATTGTGCGAATTATTCTGTGTTACTTCTGAAGCCATACGATAGCTTAATGTGAGCTACATATGAATATTTAAGTCTTTACATTAAAGTTCACACAAACTCTTTTCTCCGCTGTGGCTGTCAGTCATTCGTTCAGCCTTTAAACCCTGGTCGCATTCGGTTACAGCAGTCAGCTCGGTAAAGCTCTCTCCAAGATCATTCTGTGTTCCCATTATACTTGATTTGTAAATACATGTCTATGATTTTGCAAAAAGGACTTTATCTTCTTGCCGGAGTTTAATGTTGTTTTGTTACTTGCTACCGATGCGCACATTGTAAGCGCTTCGTGCTCATAGACTGTATAAAAAACAGTTTGTGCTGCACTGTATTTGTTTTGTCCTATCGTATCTATCATATGTTGTTGCCTTTAAAAAATACGCTATACATTCAAAATAAATTTATTTTAATTTTATAGTATATACTTAAACATATATATGAATGTTTTTAATGAATGGATTTTATAATACAAATAGCAATGTGTAACATTTTACCATATTTAGTGCAACACTTTTATTTGTTCCCCACAAAATATAGTTTTTTCACTAAATGTTTGGATTTCTAAAATTATTGTGCACTGATTTTTCTAGAATAACTTTTTGCTGCTCGAATTATCCACTAACCTAGTTTATGATAAATATTTGTCATAGATTATAAATATACATTGGCCTATATTTTTTCATATTTATTGTTTATTTTATTTTTCTTTATAATGAAGTAGTCTGTATATAGTAGATTGTGAAAGATTGATTATCAGTTCCACACACAGAGATATATAAATTCTACATTTATTTAAATGGGGGAAAAAAACTTCACTGGTATCGGATCGGTATCGGCCAATAGCGAACCCTAGGTATCGGAAACGGTTTCGGAGGCGAAAAAGGCGGATCGGAGCATCCCTAGCATAGACCAACAAATAAGACGTGTCCTATATGAACAGCCCCCATGATGATTAAATGTCCTACCTGCTCATTTCATAGAGGAAACGGTCTGCCTTTGCCATGCGGTCCAACTCATGTTTGTGCTCCTCTAGTAGGTCCACATCACACTTCTCTGGGACAAACTTGAGCATCTGGAGCAGTGAAGAAAACACCATCAATTACAACAGCACTAATAATAGAGAATCACCCTTAACTAGTCTTGAGTGATATTATTTTGGAAGACTATTTCTGCTATAGAGTAAAAAAGTAACTTAGTTTCTTACAGTTACATTTATCTCACAATTGCAACTTTATATCTCACAATGTGATTGCTTCCATAATTGCAACTCATATTTGTTTATTTCTTGTAATTGCATCTTTATATTTCATAATTTAAACTGTTTCGTAAGTGTGAATCTCCATGATTATTTATTTCCCATAATTGCAACTTTATAGCTCACTACTGTGATTTTATCCCTCATGACTGCAACGTTATACAGTAGCTCACAATTGTGAATTTTTCCTTAATTGTGATTTCATATCTTACCATTGCCATTTGATATCTCTCAATTACTGAGACTTTATATCTCTCAATTGGGACTTTATATCTGAAAATGTGACTGTTTTCCATAATTGTCTGAACTGTCTGAACTGTCCTGAGCGCGGTTGCGTCTTCTTCTTCAGTCGCTGCGTGAGGCATCTTCTTCTTGCTTTACGGCGGTTTGCAGACTTATAAGTGCATTACCGCCACCTATCTCTCAACTGGACCATTGACACGCTATCTACAATCTCAATTAGGAGTGTCAATGGTCCACTTGAGAGATAGGTGGCGTTAATGCACTTATAAGTCTGCGATCCGCCGTAAAGCAAGAAGAAGAAGATGCGTCAGGTGCCGGCTGTCGATGACGCGCTCAGGATGCGCTCAGACAGTTTAGACATTGCAGTGCATCAGAGGTAAAAAAAACTATATAATACTGTTCAGTTTCTTGCACAGACCGATCGTTTCATGTCTTTACACGTCAATGTATCGTCACGAGCCGCAGGGTTTAATTTGGATTTGTTCGTGGTTTTTTTTTTTTTTACTCTCAAAGCCTTGATTCCCATTCACTTCCATTATAAGACTGACAGACTGCAACGGTTTGAGTTAAAAATCTCCGTTTGTGTTCTACTGAAGAAACAAAGTCACCTACATCTTGGATGCCCTGGGGTAAGCAGATACACATCAAATTTTCATTTTTGGGTGAACTATCGCTTTAATAACATGCTGAAGTATTGTGAAATACATTAAGACTAATGTTTTATAGGCTTTACCAACAGATAAGTTGACAGTCACTCTTGAAAGACCAGCACCACATATTCTTGTACCACTGTTTGAAGAATTCAAGTTTTAGGAGCTCAATGTGACTCACATTTTTTTTTAGGTTTCCATACATGTTTGTTAACCATGATAGCTGTTTTAAATCCAGAATGCTTTTCCTTCTGTCCCTCACATTCCCGTCAGTTCACACTCACCTGCTCCAGCATGTCCTTGGGCAGATCTTCCTGTTCGTCCATAGTCAGAATAGCCCTCTTTATTTCCTCATTGGAAACTTTCAATCTAAAACACAAGCACAGGATATACAGATCAAGCAGACTGGGACAAATAAAGTAATTTGAAATGAATTCACAAATGAAATCCGAGTGATAGATCCACATCAGCAGAAAACTCAGTGAAGTGTAATTAATCACACTGAGAAAAGGAAATTGCTGGGAAATTCCTCCGCTTGCATAAATTTTCCTTTGGCATATAGTATAAATAAATTAGTGTGTGTTATTTAGAAGAGCTATTAATCTTGAGGCCCAATGTTGAACCCAAGTGTTTGTTCCAGTAACCAAGAATTTCCTGGCTTACACTATATATCATTAGTGGAGTGAAGAAGTGATATTATCGCATGACTCATATAAGTTAACCCAGCATTTGCCTGCTTTAAATAATCTGTGATCATCACTGGTTGCGTCTCGACAGCAACGTGACATTTGTGGTCAGTTTGTCGTATGTGAGTTCCTGGCCTTGCCACCAATTTGTTTGAGCTATAAATGATAAGTATGTTGTGAAACAAGCTGACAATCTAGGGAAGATAAATATCTCTCTCCTATAATTGAAGTTGTTGGCAGATCTTCTTAGTAGCCCTCCGACAGAGACGGTCAAACCCACCCAGAGTAGAATCTATCAGTGCAGCCAACCCTCCAAGATTGCATATTAATGATACAGAGACGCATCTGATCCAGAGATATCTGTGTGCGGACATTAGGCCAAGCTGAACAGGTGTTTGACGGGTCTGAGATCAGCGCTGGAGAGAAGCCTTCGTTCCCCAGCCAGGATCCAGAGAGACTGCAAACCACAGCAGTGACGTGAAACACGGCCAGAGCTCTTTCCATGTTCAAGTCGAGGTGTTTGTGCCAAGCAGCCCTTCCAATTCCCAGCGTTCTGTGTTACTGAGTTCTTTCTAACAAAGTTCACATGCTTACAAGAGTGAGTGAAGTTGAACTCCGGAAGGAAAAGAAAGAAATAATGGGAGCCTCAGTTCATTCAGAGGCAAGCCAACGTCATTATCAGGAGGTCATTAGCGTAACCACAAGACTCCCTCTTTATTGTTTAATCAGCGAATAATAAGCAGGAGACAGTGGGACGAAAATCTTGTGGAGCTTTCCATTTCATGTGGTCACAGACACTTTACCGTGATTGTGAAATGCCATGAATCAGACCTTTAGAGACCCAATGAAATCAAAATCAAAGTCAAAAATTGACTTACAGATATACGGAAGAGGATTAGGGCCAAGCAATAATAAAAAAAATACAATCATCTCGAGATTAAAGTCATTATTATACAAGATGAAACTGACAGTTTTTCAAGAAATAGAATGTGGAGAATAAACTCAAAAAATTCAGACAATAAAGTCATTGTGTTTCGAGAAACAAACGTGTTAAATTTCGAGAAAAAAGTTAAAAAAGAAACACACTTGTGTCATGTTCATTTTATCTCGTTGGACAGTGTTAAACAGCGTCTGCAGTGGTGTAGGCCGTAGAAAGTAATGCTCTTAGATGTAGCATACGATGAGATCGACCAGAGTTCGAATATGCCTTTTGTCGAACTCGCTTTTCTTTCTTTTCTCATTTCATATCACATTGGAAAATGAAAATCAACTGCCTAATGAGTGTTTAATAATGATGTATTTATTGGGTAGGTTTAGGGGAAGGTAGGATATTGGGAGGGCTTTGTTGTCCCAATAAGGCAGCATCTATTCAATCATTTTAATAAATAAAATCCTTTGCACTTTATTATTTCATCCTGTTAATGTACAACAATACTGAGGAGCAAATAGTATCTGTCACTATTTATAAGTATAACTATATAAGTATATAATATATAATATATTTTCTTAAAACATGATTTTTCTCTCTATTGTCAACATTTTGACTTGTTTCTTGAAATTTGAAGAGTTTTTCTCTCGAAATAGACAGACTTTATTCTTGAAATGTAATTATTTTATTCTCAACATTTTATGTTGACATTTTTCTTAAAATTTTACCTCGCATAATGTCTTTAATCTCAAGATGGTTTTATTTTTTTTTATTATTGCTTGGCCCCAATCCTCTTCCGTAGGCATTTTCCTCATCAAGGAAAACAGACAACATTTTTATGGTTATTACCACACACAAAAAATATTACTTTAGTTTTAATAAGTGCTCAAAGAGTGCTGTAAGAAAAAATAGACTTGTGTTAAAAGTTCAAAAACTTGGCCTAATGTTCAAAAAAGGTTTATTTTTCATGTTTTTGAAAGAAGTCTCGTTTGTTCACCAAGGCTATGTTTATTTGATCAAAAATACAATAACAGTAATATTTTGAAAAACTATCACAATTTAAAATAACTGTTGATGGCAAAGCTGAATTTTCAGCATCTTTACTCCAGTCTTTAGTGTCACATGATCCTTCAGATATTATTCCAAAATGCTGAATTGCTGCTCAAGAAACAATGTTGAATGTAAAAAACTGTTGTGCTGGTTAATATTTTTTTTGGGAAACCATGATACATTTTTTTCTGGATTCTTTGATGAATAAAAAGTTTATAAGAAAAGCATTTATTTGAAATAGATTTTTTTTGTAACAAATGTTTTTACGGTCACTTTTAATTAGTGCAGGATGATCGCGATTAATCGCATCCAAACTAAACGTTTTTGTATACATAATATATGTGTGTGTACTGTGTATATTTATTATGTATAAATACACACACATGCATGTATATATTTAAGAAAAATATGTTAATATTTTAAATATAGTAAAGTAAATACTTTCAAAATATATACTGTATGTGTGTCTTTATATGTACATAATAAACATAATATACACAGTACACAAACATATATTATATAAACAAAAACTTTTATTTTGGATGTGACTAATCGCGATTAATCATTGCCCAGAACAACTTTTAAATCAATTTAACATATCCTTAATGAATAAAAAATTTGACCCCAAAATTTTTCAATGTATGTTGTTACTATTATTATTAAAATTTTTGATTTTTTTTTTCCCTAGTGTATAGTCCTTTCTGATCCATTTCTGTACAGCTGGCTTAACAGGTTTCATTTCCTCTTCTGATTGAGAACTGTCGACACTGAGTTGATTAATATGAACTAAGCTCTAATTAGTGATCATTGAGCACATGTTACTCCTCAGTCTCTTCTCCCCTCAGCCAGACCACCATCTCACCTTCCACCGCCCTGACGTCCAGCAGCACATTCACCATTCCTAAACCAACACTAATGACTATACAGGCTTCCACTTGAGAAGCAAAACTATTTAAATCCCTGTGAATCTCAGCTTGGGTGGTCCGTTCGTTGGCTGTACAATGGATTACACCCCAATCTCTTCTTGTGGAGACTCCTAAGAGACCATTTAGGGAGGATGAGAGTGTAATAGATCCACAGGCCATGATCTACAGATGGTGCTGAAGCCGGCTGTTAATGTGCGTTTTGATGAGGTCTCGATGTCGGTCGTTCATAAACTGTCATTAATAAAAATCTGCAGGGAGGATTTTGGAGTGAATCTGGCAATAATGGAATTGGTCTGGTTCATTTCATTTAGTTTGGAGTCTTGCTTTATGAGAACCTTTTGTGTTTTGGGCCCAAGCCAAACCGCAGTCAGTCAGTGAGCTGTCATATATCCGACACCGTCTGGATTGGCAGCTGTGACCAACTGTTACAGTTTGCTTTGTGGGATTCGTTTCATACAGAAAGGGTAGTAGTCCTGAGGTGACAAACAGATATGTAACCTAAAATAAGAACTGGATCCTGGAAGTATTTATATGGAATCCCTAATGGAAGTATTTATAGTGACAATATCGCCACTAAGAAAAAAAAAACTCAGTGGGAACCCTGGATAATCAAAGTATTAAGCTCTGCATGGAAGATAGTTTAATTTCAGCTCATTCTGACACTTCAGTCACATCTGTATGAAGCTATAAATGGGAAATATGTAAACCCTGAATAATATTCAACTACCCAGGAGTTCTACAGCTAGGACCCGCAGTAGTGTTTTCCTTTAGTATGTCAAATGTTTTGGGTTAGAGAGGCTTGACTGTTCTATTATAAGTGAATTAAATATTTCCTGAGTTTTCTCATTCTTTAAAGATGAAATCGAGGTAATGAGACATGCTGAATTAAAATAATATAAATCTGCACAACTATTTCAAAAGAAATGCTAATAACTCTCTTTGGATACTAAATCTTAAAGTAGACATATTATACCCCTTTTTACAATATGTAATATAAATTTCTGGTGTTCCCAGAATGTGTCTGTGAAGTTTCAGCTCAAAATACTCCACAGATCATTTATTATATCATTTTTAAAATGCCTTTTTTGAGTGGAAGCAGAAACACGCTGTTTTTCGGGCCTGTGTCTTTAAATGCAAATGAGCTGCTGCTCCCCGCCCCCTTTTCCAGAATAGAGCTGCACCTTTACAGCTCGTATCTGCTAAAAACATCTGTTTTGGTTCTGATTATCATGTTTATGCGCTGAAATCAGAAGTTTTATACCATATGAGTTTAAACTTCTGATATACGGTTTTCTGAGAGCACACATCCGAAGCACACGGACAGAAAGCGGCTGTCACAGCATGTGAGTACTAAACTAAGTTCTCATTCACACACAAGTTTACATTAAAAACACACGAGTTACAAAAACAGTCGGTTATGTCTGTGAAGGTAAACTGCTGGGAAATAAATCGCAGGTTTATTTTAGATCTGTGTGGCAGCAGCAATATACAATAATATACAATAATATTAAATAGTAAATAACAATAGTAAATAAATCAATAAATGCACTGCTCTCTCGTCTCCTCTGAGGCTGGGACTCTAAACAGTGTTCTGTGCTCGTCTGTGCAGCCAAAGACAGAACAGTTAGCATGCTTTGCTCAAACTTTCGCCATGACAAGTTTACATTAAAAACACACGAGTTACAAAAACAGTCGGTTATGTCTGTGAAGGTAAACTGCTGGGAAATAAATCGCAGGTTTATTTTAGATCTGTGTGGCAGCAGCAATATACAATAATAGTAAATAATATTAAATAGTAAATAACAATAGTAAATAAATCAATAAATGCACTGCTCTCTCGTCTCTTCTGAGGCTGGGACTCTAAACAGTGTTCTGTGCTCGTCTGTGCAGCCAAAGACAGAACAGTTAGCATGCTTTGCTCAAACTTTCGCCATGGCATTAGAACTTGTACACCGTTGTCGCTTGCGAAATCACAATTATGGTGCTGTGGGTGTATTACATTTACAGATTAAGGGGCGTTAATATTATAAAAAGATCCCTTTGCCACGTCACCAAGGGAGCGAAATCAGACGCGCTCATTTTTTCAGACGCTTGCAGAAAAAGGCTTACCAAAACAAAGTTACTGGATTAATCTTTTTCACGTTTCCTTGGTTGGTAGATTTTCATGATATGTCACCTTTAATAGTGATTTTGACTGAATTTTCTTGTTTTATTTTCCATTTTCAAAGGAAATGGAAAGCTAATAAACATCAGGACCCATTAGCAGGCCATTCTTTCACAGTTTCTGCTAAGATTTTGGGGAAAACTCAAGACTCTAGAAAAAAAGGACTAGATTTAATTATGGTATACTATTTTTCAGAGGATTGGGGGCAGTAAGACTCTTCAGTGTCAAATGATCCTTCAGAAATCATTCTAATATGCTGATTTGCGGCTCAACACACATTTTTTATTGTCAATGTTGAAAGCAGTTGTGCTGCATAATATTTGTGACCCTGGACCACAAAAACATAACCAAAGTCATAAGGGTCCATTTTTTTAAATTGAGATTTATCTAAAGCTGAATAAATAAGCTTTCCATTGAGGTATGGTTTGTTAGGATAGGACAATATTTGGCCGAGATACAACTATTTGAAAATCTGGAATCTGAGGGTGCAAAAAAATCTAAATATTGAGAAAATCACCTTTAAAGTTGTCCAAATGAAGTTCTTAGCAATGCATATTACTAATCATGATATATGTATGGAAAGAAATTTACCAAATATCTTCATGGAACATGATCTTTACTTAATATCCTAATGATTTTTGGCATAAAAGAAAAATCAATAATTTTGACACATACAATTTTTTTTGGCTATTGCTACAAATATACCCCAGCGACTTAAGACTGGTTTTGTGGTCCAGGGTCACAATTTTTGTTAAAACCATGATACGTTAATTCTCAATATTCTATGATGAACAGAAGTTTCCAAAAGAAAAGCATTTATTTTAAATAAAAATATATTGTAACAGTATAAATATAATGTTAGCCATGATATTTAATAAATAAGCACACAAAGGGCACATTTTAAATATGGAAATCCCAAACCACTGCAATTTGTGGATCTTCTGGAATCACAGAATCCTTGCATATTCCTTTTGAGTGAGAAAGTCAAATATTGTTCCTGGCAATGACAACCAAGTTGTCAAGTGTGAAGCTTTTTTTTTTTTTAATTAATAAAGCATAGTTCCTGTTCATTTTTAAAGCCCCATGCTGCATTGATTTACAAAGAATTCAAGAAAGCCACCTCATACTGTATAGACGTGAAGAAACTAAGGGGCGGTATGTCTTTCACTGATAGGAAATGGCACAATAACCAAGGTGGAAGATACAGTATCAAACCAGGATGTAGGAACCAGAAGGTATTACCCACAGGATATGACATTACATCTGGAGGGCCAGTGAGGTCCACACACACACACCAGCCGGAGGTGAACTCATACCCGGGCCAGACACATCACTCACCGTGAGAGAAGGATGTTGCAGTTCTGAGCCCGACGGCCATCGATGACAGAGAGCTCTTTGACTTTCTTGGAGCTCAGCGCATCGTCTTCAGTCTCTTTCTGTTTGGTCGGAGTCACAAAAGAGATACATTTCACTCAAGAGCAACTTTAAAGATCAGGTTTAAAATAAAAGAATCAATATACTCTATGATTTTGAATCTCCTTACACTGCCAGTCAAAAGTCTGGAGATTTTTTAATTGTTTTCAAAAGTCTTACCAAGGCTGTTTATTTGATCAAAAATACAGTAAAAACTGTGAAATATTATTAGAATGTAAAATAACCGTTTTCTATTTGAATATATTGAATTTTTTTCCTGTAATGCAAAGCAGAATTTTCAGCAGCCAGTCTTCAATGTTACATGATCCTTCAGAAATCATTCTAATTTCAAACTTTTGACCAATAGTGTGTATGGACAGTTTATATAAACATTATCAGTAAAGTCACATTAGGTTTCCACTTTTATATATTGTCTGGATACAAAATGAATGACACATAGAAAGAGTGAGTGGGGGAGAGATGATGCAAACACTATTAGATCTGTTCAACCACACTTACCTGCTTGCAGTTATTGACCATAAAGAAGTCCTAGAATGCAGGCGAGAAGCAAGGAAGATGCAGCACATGTTAGAGAGAGACAGCGTAGTCTGGTGAATTCAGCCAAAACAAACTCAAGCAGGCATGTGCACATGATGACATTATTGGGGTGGTGAATGGTGAGCGTGAGGGTGCATGAAAGCATAGCCTTCTGGGAGGTCTGTAAATGCAGTGTAAATGTGTGTGTGTGCACTGAAAGATGCATGCTAGTTGATCACAGATGACCGGTTAATGTCTAAACAACTGCTAAATATCACAAGCTACCTCTCCAATTCCACCTTAGTTGTATCAAATCTAGATGCTCTGCAATAGTGGACACATTTTGTCTTTTCTTTAGCAAATCCACATTTCTGTTCATAATGTGGAAATCTGCACAATTCTGAGAAATTACAACAAATAATCGCAGTGAAGGGAAATAAAATTGCAAATGCGAAAAATGAATAATGATAAATATAGTAATCATGCAAAATTGCTGCGACTGCAAGAAAAAGAGTCAGAGTTAAGTTGCTACTGTGACAAATTAATTTGCAATTAATAAATAATATAAAGTTCCAGGTGTTAAATATATATTATATTATATAAACTAAATTTAAATTTTTTTTACTCTGAGACAGAAAATGGTTTCCATACTGTAATAATCTGGCTTCCATAATGCTGTAAATAAATCTAATAAATTTTGAGAATTTGATGAAATTGGAGAGGTTTTATGAATCTCTGTTTTAATGCATTTAGCATGCTTTCAAGTTTAAAACCAGCTTAAAGTAATTTATGCATTGTTTTAAAATATGATTATGAAGTCACGGTCGAGTTTCGAGCTGTGTCCAACCTAGCTTTTTTTTTTTCTTCTCTAATTTGACTGTAAAGCCATAAGAAATGTATGTAATTGCTTTATAATGAGACTAAGTGTGTGGTTTACCAGGCATAATGAGGACGGTTTGCCAATGTCTGCTTTTCATAGAAAACTGCTAGTGATATCAATGCATTTTACAGTCTGCTAATTCAAACCCCATGCTCTGTGACGCAGGATTACCGTGGGTAAACATATGAATACCATGCATGAGAGACAGTGAATGCTTTTTGAGATCATTCTGGATGATAACCAGTGAAAGAAGCATTGTTTAGTGACCTGTTGCCTCTGATAGGCAGAGAAAGTCTTCTCAATGTCCACCAAGTCCAGAATTTTGAAAACTTTGCTGTCATCAATGTCTGCCCAGACTGTTCCCTCCAGCTTGTTCTGTGGAAGAGAGTGGGATGTGTAACTCAATTACTGTCCAGTCCAATGTCACATGTTGTAAGTCACATACTATATTTTGTTAATCGTAAAACTCAAGTAGAAAATGCATTGCAAAATTCAAAAATAAATCAAAGATGAAGAAGATGGGAAAAATGCCACTAAATAAATCCGCAAAATAAATCAATAAACATTTTATTCAATGCTAAAATGTATAGATAAAAATAGTTTCATTACATTAAAAGTCTAAATAAATAACATTTTATTCAATGCTAAAATGTATGGATAAAAAGGGTTTCTTAAAATTAAAAATATAAATAACATTTTATTCAATTAAATTCTAAAGAGTATAGATTGAAATAGTTTCAAGAATTTAACCATTTAAATTAAATTACATACTAAAAAGTATAGATAACAGATTTATTCAATTTAAATGTAAATAAAAAAATAAACATTCTATTAAAAACGTATATAAAAATTCAAAATTTTGAATCTAGTTCTCTACCCATATGACAATCTATGACAAATGCTGAACACTTGGCAAAATTTAAGACCGGTTTGACTTCCAAAAGTGTTTCTTGATTAAACGTGGAGGCTTAAGAAACAGATTTTAGTCTCTGTGAGTGTCAGGATGACCCTGTCCGCTCCTCTAATCCATGCCAATCTCACCTCAGACAGCTTGGCCCAGTTGAAGGACTTGAGTGGATTGGACGGCTGAGGAATGTTTTTCTTCTTCAGGGACGGTCCCACGGGAGCTCCTGGCGGAGGCGGAGCTGCACCGAAAGGTGGCCGTCCAGGGGGTGGCGGGGGGCCACCAGGGGGCGGTGGTGGAGGCGGCGGCATCACAGCACTGCCCGGTGGAGGAGGTGGTGGAGGAGGCATCATGCCACCCGGTGGAGGTGGAGGAGGTGGAGGGGGCAAGAGAGGGCCACCTGGAGGACCAGGGATGGGAGGCCCTCCGGGAACACTGGCTACTTGTCTCTAGAAATATAAAAGTGATGAACAGTGGTCAGTCTTTATTAATGTTTGCTTTCGTAAAAGGACGTTTACATGTTTTTGTATTATTATTATTATTATTATTAATATCTGTGATCAGCATACCGTGCTGAGGTGATGTAGTCTGGAAGTCATTTCTGCCACCTGCTGCTTGACTAGTTTATGTTCCCCCATTTCTCTTTCTAACTTCTCTTTCATCTTGTTGAGAGTTTGCATCATCTCCTCCTTCTCCTGAGTTTTTGCGTCACACTCTCGCTCCTTCTTTTCCAGCTTCTGTTGAAGCTCATGGTGGTCTACAGGACAAAGAGGTTAAAGGTCAAAATGTTATACGTCTCTACAATAAAGACACTGCATTCCAGTCAACTAAATCAAACTGAAATAAATAGGCTACATTCCCATGTCAGAATTAACATAATTATGAGATGACAACTCTGAGAATCTATTCTGAGCTGATGATGTTCTCATTTTTAGAAATTATAAGTTTATATGGCAACGCTTATAATGTCAAATAGATGCCATGTGCTTGTTGTTGTTGATGACAGTCAGATTTTTATATTAATTCACTTCTACATGCTAGTTCATTTTTCCATTATGTCATCATGATGGTCAAGTCATTCATTAATCAATTTTCAAGTTGTAATTTATAAGTTTGATGACATTTTACATTGTTGTTTAATCAGAGTGATCATTTCTACATGAACAGATGAAAATGAGAAAAAAGCGCATACAAATAATCTGTAAAATAAATAAAATACACAAAATAAAAAATAAATCTGCCGAATGAATGAATAAATTAACAAACAAACAAACAAACATATTATTAAATGCTAAAAAGTATAGCAAAAAAGTTTCATGACGTCATTTAGCATTGATGTCTTGACAGCCACGTCATTAAAATTCACATGAAATTCAAGTTCTGAAGTTGTAATTTATACAGATGAAAATGAGAAAAAAGCGCATACAAATAATCTGTAAAATAAATAAAATAAAAAATAAATCTGCCGAATGAATGAATAAATTAACAAACAAACATATTATTAAATGCTAAAAAGTATAGCAAAAAAGTTTCATGACGTCATTTAGCGTTGATGTCTTGACAGCCACGTCATTAAAATTCGCATGAAATTCAAGTTCTGAAGTTGTAATTTACAGGTTGCCAAAGACATTTTTAATGGTTAAGTCAGAATTTGAATCCCTACTTGATGTGAATGCATTAACAGTTACAGAGGATTTAATCTTAATGCAAAAATGCAGACTGTTGTAAAAGAAACATCAATGTGTACAACATGTGCTGACCTTTACGCATTTTTTCCGCCTGTTCCTTCCACTGTTTCACCTCATTTTCATTGACAAGCCTGAAAAAGGGTAAGTGATGTGATTTAAGGAAAAACTCATTATTTCTGTACAGATCTTGGTTTATTTGGCAAAGACTTAATGAGGGCATAAAAAAACTGCAACTACTATAAATACACTACAGCAACATATGGATGCCAAAGAAAATCAATTATGATAAAGTTGCCTGAAAAAAGAGGCAAACTCACATTCGAACCACATTCTTTACATTGAAGTTTTCTAACGGCGTGACATCAGGGTCGTGACCTTTGTCACTCTGCAGGACCATCTGTTGGACAATGCGGTCCAGGAGCAGCCAGTACTGCACTGTGTTCCCACTTCTCTTATCTAAAACAAAGTGCAGATTCTTAATACTTAATTCTGACTGGTCATTTGTGGCATTAAACTGAATAGTTTTTGCATTAATGACCAGCTGACTATACATCATCCTTCATTTATAGCATTTGGTGGAAAAAGTCTGCATAGCTTTGTTTCAGTTAAAAACTAAGAAAGTCTAAACAATAAGGTAAACACTCACGAGGCATAAGCAGGCAATGGTGAAGAATAGACATAAATAATCTCTTTTTTTTTATCATATTTTTAAAAATATTATAATAATTGTAAGCAATATATCTATACATAAAATGTAAAACCATTATTAGAAATATTATTTTTAATCTACTCACAGCCTCAAACCGCCTGGATAATGTGAGCTCATCATCATTTCTCAGCATCTCAAAGTAATCCAAATGCCTGAGGAGACAAAAAAAAAGAAACAGCAAAATCAAGATGCTCAAATTTGCTGATAAGACTCCATTAATAAAGCTCAAGTTAGCAATTGTGGCCCTTACCTGTCTAAAGTAGAGTTTTCATGTGACCTGAGTTTGTCGATGATGGGCTGAATCCCCAACATGAGGAACTCGTATCGCAAATGAACCCGGAACTCAAGGCTGGCCTACGAGTTATTAAAGAAACACTTACTGATATACTATTCCTTCAAGGGCAAATAGGAGACTTTTTTTGGTAGATATTTATATATTAAAGCACAGATCTGGACAGAGTAAATTAAGATGTGTTAAAATAGTGTGTAAGCAACCGAAATGTCTTACTTCACCAGCTCCTTGGCTTAAAACAGCATTAATGAAGGACATAATCGCCGTTTTCAGGCTGACCTCGTCCCTGTACCGTCCTATGCTTTTGTCCAGATCATTCAGCAATGTCTGTGACAAAAGAAAGATGGCAGTGGGATTGACATTTATCCTGATACAGACTTTCTTGATGTTTTATCATGCTATAAACAAGCCAGCCAACCTGAAATCGTGTGCGCTCACAAGAGAACTTTTGATAGTGCAACATGGCCTCCAAAATCTTCTTGTGGCCTCCCGGCACTAAACACACAGCACCCATGATCTCCAGCACCGCCACTTTAGTCTTGATGTTCTCGGTGGCCAGACTCTGAGCGATGATGTTGATGCTCTCGGAGTGAGAGAGCACGTGAGCGCGACCCTGGGAGTTGTTCATCAGGGCTTTGATGCAGCCGATGAGGGAAGTGTGGATCTGAGACTCGGTGGTCTCATAATCCATGCTCTTCAGGAAGTTCAGGATGCATGTCAGGCCGTCCATATCGATGAACCGTGTTACGAACCTATAAGGAATGATTTCAGCTGTTCGTTAAAGATCCTTCTCACTCATTCAATTTTATAAGTTACGATAGAAAAAAAAGCTTTAACTTTAAAGCTGCCATATCATAGATGTTTTCATATTTGTATTTTTCCCAGATGTCCACTTGCAATGCTTTCTTTGAAAGTTACCATATTATTTCCTAGTATATTTTCTTACCAATACAGAAATGATAAATAAATAAAAATACCTAAAAATATATACAATTAATTTTTTATTAAATTTAGTCCTGTATTTATTTGTATTAGTTTTTGCCCTTTATTTATTATTTTCTGTGTTTATTTTTAACTATTTATTTTACATTTCTGCAAGATCGGGCCTCCATAAGAGAAAATTTCTTAAAATGTATCTCTAATTTCTCAATTTCTTGTCTTATGAATGATTACAGAAGAATTTAGAATAACGTACACATTAATTTTTATATAAATTTAAATAATTTTTATACATTTAAATACATTTACATTTTTAGACAAAAGTTTCATTTGATTTATTATCAAAAGTGAAGAGATGACAGGAAATGATGGTGCAATGGGATTGCCACATGACATGGGTTGGATTCAAACCCACAGTAAATTTGCAACATGAGCACCAAACCCAAGCATGTGTGTTAACTGCAAGGCCACGGCTCTGAAAACATTTGCAATGATTTGTAAATCTGAAAATGATTGACTCCTCAAGGAGGTGATGAATGTGAAATAATATATCACATCAGTAGCTAGACTGATTTATAGCCCCTATAAAGCACTTGACTTTAAATACAATTGCCTTAAGCTGTGAAAGGAATGGTTTGATATGCAGCCTGAATGTTATTAGGCACAAAGAGGGCAGGAGTGCTTTGACCCGAGCCCTGCAGAGGTCAGTGCTGATGACCTGTGACCCCAGGATCAAATGGTGAATTCAGGAACCACTAATCAAACGCATGTGTTTGTGAGCATGTGTGTGATGAAAGTAATCTAATTTGCATAATGAGACCCAAAGCACACACCATAAGGGAAGCGTTTGTTTAATAAGAGACTGAGGTGCTTGTCAATGGGAAAATCATCGACGTGTTAAACTATTGCCCTGAGACAGCTGTCCTCATCTTCAAGTAAAAGCAATAATGTAAGCTAAGGTTTTTTTTGTTTGTTTGTTATTTTAATTTTAGTGAGCAAATATGGACATTTGAGATATAAAGTGAACCAAAAAATAAATGTTTTATAATATTATTACAATGTAAAAATTACTGTTTTATATTTTTCTGTTTACACAATAGGTCTCTTATGCTCACCAAGGCTTTATTTTGTTTTACAGTAAAGACAGTAATATTGTGTAATATTATTACAATTCAAAGTAACTTGTTCTATTTTAATACATTTTTAAATGTAATATGTGATGGCAAAGCTGAATTTTGATTTCTCCTGTCTTCAGTGTCACACAACTCTCAGAGATTATTCCAATACACTGATTTGTTGCTTAAGGAACATTTATTATTATTATCAATGTTGAAAACCATTGTGCTGCTTAACATTTTTTGTGGAAACAATTTTTTTTTCAGGACTGATGAATAGAATGTTCAAAATGTATTTTAAATCGAAATATTATATCTTTAATATTGTAATATTATAAATGTCTTCACGGTCACTTTTGATCAATTGAATTCATCCTTGCTGAATAAAATCATTAAATAAAAGTAAAATTTGAACAGTAGCATAAACACTTAAAACCATATTTAAAATCCTCGAGTATCTTGATATTATATAACAAAATACTATAATATATATTTATATATATATATATATATATATATAACAATTTTAAAAATTATATAAGTGCTCAAATACAAATTTAGGGACTTATATTTTATAAAGACAGAGCGTGTATATCCATTTGTGTTCCAATGTGCAGACCTCATTGGTTGTGTCCGCAGTGCCGTTTTCAGGCTTTCAATAGTCTTGTTGCGTTCCTCCTCTTCTTCCTTCTCCAAGGCCAACAGAGTTTTCCTCTGTAAAAGAGATACCATTCTTACACTAGATGCTTACACATGTTATGTACATTTCTAACCATGGATATTACATATTATGTGTTTTATAGAGATAGTTCATCCAAAAATGAAAATTCTGTCGTTAATTACTCACCCTCATGTCGTTCCAAAGCCGTAAGACCTTCGTAAGATATTTCTTAATTTCTGCTTTTTGACCCTCCACAGGCAGCAAGGGTCCTATCACGTTCACTGATGTGACATGGACTATTTTGTCGATGTTCTTGGTACCTTCTGGGCCTTGAACGTGGTAAGACCCTTGCTATGGAGGGTCAGAAATCTCTCGGATTTCATCAAAAATATCTTAATTTGTGTCATGAAGATGAACGAATGTCTTACGTGTTTATAACATGAGGGTGAGTAATTAATGACAGAATTTAAGTTTTTGGGTGAGCTATCTCTTTAAGTCCTCAACGTCCAATGGTAATGTAAAATGTATAATCAGTTGTTAAAAGAAGACGATTTCATGAATGTTAAAGGACAAAGAAAAGTCTTCAAAAAAGAAATACTTACAGCTGCCATTGAATTGAGCTGGTCAATGTAGTACTCTGGCCAGCTAGTAGCACCTTTATTCTCCTCTTGCTCCTGAGAGAAAAAAAAAATGGATTAAAAGGCACAGAATTAACAAACTTTACCTTTAAATTCTATCTTCGAGACATTAGTTTAAGCATGTCAGCATGAGTATATAAAAAAACCAAACATAAACAGCTCTTGTTTTCACTTCAAGCACACGTCATTAATCCACGCTGCCCTCTGCATGATGCCGGAACACGAGATGTGTGTACACACCGATCAGAGCCCACACAACAGGAACATGACACTGGGAATAGAGGAATGTGAAACAACATATTGGGAATGAGCTGGAAAGGAATGTGTGGTTTCGGAATGTTATTGGGAATGACATAATTTGGAACCTTCGGTGGGAATGAGACATTCCCGAGTCCGCAGCTATAAAACATGATCTTTATCTTGAAAAGATCTTATTTTGATACCGGCCAGTTGTGTGAAACCAAATATTCAGCTGACAAAAGCGTGAATTGGCTTATCTGCGAAGCATTTATTTATTCTGTCGCTCATTTTGCCCTTTAATCTGTTTTTTCATATTATTTCTTAGAAGTTTGATGGAGCTGGGATTTATTTCATATCTCATTTCACTTGAGTAACATTTATTACTTACAGGTAACCAAAGCAAATCAAACATGCAATAAGATTCACACTGCATGTTCCCAGGTGAACATCACATGTACACACTTTCCCAAACATACAGACTCAGAAAAAGCAGATTTGAAACAGAACATCACGCTCAAAGCGCTGGCAGAAATAGCACACGCTTTAAGTAGGCCAGCAGAGATTCACAGACACTAGAGAAACAACACAGATCCCAGATTGAGCCAATGCCGCATTAGCACAGCTCTGAAGAGCAGAAAATGCAGTATGATTCAGAAGACAAAAAGGAAAGCAGGGAGCTACATAGGAATTAATGAATCAAAACCGAGTGGAACTTGTGAAGTGTGTTGACTTCCTTCTCAAAACAAGCACAGGCTGCCCGCATGGCCACTAATAGGGAGTTTAATTGTAGCTTATGTTCACCGAACACACAGGAAAGGAAAAAATCTGGCATAGCAATGAGCTCCTTTGCAGCAACTATGTGGGATGTTTCACACCCGGCTCTGCCAAGCCTTTTGGGAGATAATGGCATCTCACAAATGGGCATCTGTTTGGGCGACTGGGGAGTTTTGGATGCTGGCCTGAGACCCCTGATCTTCCACCGTCCAGCATATTTCTTCTCAACTCCCCTCTCACCATTTGGCCTTAATGAGTAAAGCATTAATGTGGATCTCTGGCAGGACTCATTCTCATGCTGTGGAAGGACTTTCCTCTGCTCTTATCCCATGAGCACAATATCTCAGACAGACATGTCATAACGACTGTTGATATTGTTGGTTGAGGTTGGTTTGGAGAGACATTCTCTTTCTAGGAACCAGCCGTGCTTTAATGTGTTCAGTTCAGATAATTACAATTTCAAGAAATCAGTTCACAGGAAGATGAATCAGCCCAAAGATCTGCAAATACCTAACTGACAAGTATCAACAAGCAGTTTAAAGCTCTTTTTTTAAATAACCACCAAAAATGAGCTGAACAATCTCAATTGTTGCATAGGAGTCAAGTGAGACTAGCCAGCATATTTTCAAATATCACACAAAAAATGCTGGATAGAAACAAATAGATAAAGGCCTATTCACATCAAAAAGAATGTTCCGCTTGAAAATTCAGTGTGATTTGCCTGTTCAGAACAATGTGCAAAAAGCAGCAGACAAGCTGAATGAAAATGCAGTTTCACTTTCTGAAAACAGGTTGCTTTTATAAGCAAAAATACCCTGGTTACCCTGGTACACAAAGCAGCACTGCACACTTTTCTATTTCAGACACTCGCTTGTCATGGAGAAGAGAGGAAGTCACACAGCATTTTCGTGATTTCAAACCGCCAGTCAAATTTCTGTATTCGTTATGATGTTTATCAAACAACACCTAATACAAGAGTACAAGAATACTCTGCCATTCACTGTCGTTTAGTAAAATATTTGTCATTTTACAGCAGTGGCTCTAGGCATGTGACCAAAACTGCATTTTTTTTTTTTGACAGTTTTTTTGCAGTGCGATGGAAAAGAGTTTAGAAATTAAAAACCTTGTTGTAAAAACTCTCTTTGATGGCATGCAAAATCCATTCATTCAAATTCAAATGTTTATCACACTGAACGTTCACGCTAGAATTTGTGTACAAAAAATTTCTATGGACACTACAATGCTCACAATATGACATCTTGTTCACTGGCATCTTTAAAAAAAAACTATTCTGCATATACTACATAATTTTACTTTACTTCACTGCACTGCATTGCTCCAATCCTGAAGATTTTTTTAAAAAGTTGCATTCCGCTAATACATCATGCCAATCTTGTATTAGACACACATCTTCTTGTCATATGAACACCGAACTTGAACTTTGGAATGCACTGAAATTTAAACGAGCTTACGTCTCCTGTTTCCCACATTCGCAAGTGTATAAGTGGAAGTCAATGGAACAAAAAATGTAGTGTAACTGGGCAAAGACACAAAAAAGCGAAATAAATACCCCCAATTAAATTCTTTAAGATAATAAAAATGCTGATTTATTAGCTAATTATTTTTTGCAATATTCAGATTTATGCACTGATTATATTCGTAACTTGCATTGAAACAGTCAATGTTGACTGCAGTGCTCCAGGTCTAATCTTTCACATCTGCCAGACAGCAGCGGGTCAGAGACTCAGTCTGCTCGATTGAACCCACTTGACTAAGTATTTGTTGGCCCACTGCCCAAGAAACTCTGGCAAAAAGCTTGATAGCCCCTGACCTAAAAAACCTTCCTCTTCAGCCCAATTCACTGAATGCTTAAGCATTCAGATAGAAAGTGTAAGATTACAATGGCATCAATTTATTTGGTAGAAATCAGAGAGCTCTGATTACAGATGTTTATTTTTCCACAATAGGGACAATTGAGGCGAGTCAGATGAATATCCAGACTGACTATTCTTAACCGTCCTTTGCCAGGAGCAGGACAGCTGATATCATACCTCAAGTTTTGGTCTTGAGCCAGCAGAGCCTGCACACCTGAGCGCACCGAGACATTGAGTTCAGGGCACAGGTGAATAATCACTGTGCTCAGCACACCGTATAGAAAGAAACGTCAGCAAAACAGTTTGGGAATCAAACTTAAAATAGCCCTCGCCCTGTAATAAGAGCACTATACTGTCCTGTTACCCTTACAGAAGCACCAAAGAGGCACAAAAGATGCTTTCATTACTTCAAAAGCCCATATTATAAGCACATTCTGTTTTCCCTGAAGTTCAGTTATAGATATGCGTGACCATTTTTAAGCACTTTTCTGACCCTCAAAATTAACAACTGCACATAAAAAGACAATAAAACTGTTCATACAGTAAAGGATTATGCAACTAATATTTGATATTACTGGCCTTCACATACCATTAGCAGCTTTCAATGCAAAAATAATATATTTAATTTTCTACCTTTTTATCTTTTTTTTGGAGCATTTTAGGCCATTTATAAAGTTAGTATAGATTTTTGTGCCAAAAACCGTCAGAACTAAGTTTTTCAAATTCTATCTGACCTTTGAAATTACACAGACATATACAGTATTTGTTTAGATTGTGAAATGAGCAACTGCACATGCTGCTCTCTCGCCTGGGATGCGGGTTTGCCATCTTTAAAAATTGTTTTTTACTGCCCCATCCTGAAATAACTACCTCTTTGCAGAGCCTGCATTTTGTGACAGGTTCATATATCATAAAGTACAATGTGCACAGTTATCTGACCAGATCATCTGACCAAATAAGGTTTTAACTTTAAACTCCAAAAGAAACCAATGTAGCTGAGTTTGGAAGATGCCAGTTTATAAGGTCAGCTTGATCAGGTCAAGCAATTAAAAAAAAAAACTTTTTTCTGGTCTAAGAGATCATTATATTTTTATATAATATTAACAATGTTGAAACAAGTTTTTTTTTGCTCAATATCAGTCAAAACCATAACATTCTTTCCGGATTATTTGATGAATATAAAGTTCAAAAGAACAGCATTTATTTGAAATAAAAGTTGCTTCTATTAATGTCTTTGCTTTAAATGTCACCTTTGATCAATTTAAGGCATCCTTCTTGAATACAAGTATTCTTACAGGCTGCAAATGTATTTTTAAGATATTATTCATAAATGAACATATTGCATTAACAGTCCAGTACCTTATAAATGTGTGGAAAGAGAACGTAATAAAAGAGATGACTGCTGTGAGTGTTGTTTCCCAGGGTTGAAAGACCTATCAAAAGCCCCCGGTCCTTGCAGATAACATAATCTGCACCTGCAAATGGAGACCTTCCTGTTTGCTTTGGACCAACCACTGCTTCCCTTATCCTTCCACTCTCCTATCCCAGACCAAAGCCCTGGGGAAGAGCGCCAAGCCCCTGTTTTACTAGTCCCAGGCTGAGTCTGCATGAATGCTATTGCACAGCCGCGGGCCGTCTCACGACAGACATATTCTTCCTTAATCTCATCCATCCGCTCACCGTCTTAAATCTTTTTCATTGGTTCCATGTGTTGAATCGCGGAGCATGACCTCCTCATGCAAGTAGAGCGAAATTAAATGTGGCTGAAAGACACTTATCAAAACACAGAAACGGCATCTCGATCTGGCCAACCGCGCGCTCTGATACGCTTCCAAAAACGAGGATCAGGTCAGAAAGCAGGTCATTTACGAAACATTTATAAAAAAAAAAGCTTCTCATCACTAAAACTAGAAGTCAAAAGACAATTTTGAATGCCCTACTTCACGTCATCCCCTCTTTTGGCTCGGTGTCCCATGACAATGAGTAATTAGGTCTGTAATTGGGACACAGCATATATGGCTATACAAGAAAAGATGTCATGGCCAGACAGATGGCCGACCTGTAACCAATACCAGCTTTTGAACCACTACAACTCAAAGATAAGAACATCTAAGAAAATCTCAGTGGGGCGCTTTCTTTTAATGTATC